CCGATTTACCTTTGATTGTGCACCAAACGTCTAATATTTGTCCAAATGGTATGGAATTTGGCACTTACCACCGAATTGAGTCTAGAAACTAGTATGTCAAAATTGGTGAAGATCGGTTCAGATATAGCTATAACTTCCATACATACTGTTCATCCGATTTGTTATATTTGTTACCCACAGCCGTAATATGCACTCCCGTAACAACGATATTCAGGAAAATATATCAAATACAGCTCAGAAATATATTTGCCAATTTTTTTGAGATCGGTTCCGATTTAGATATAGCTCTTATATATATCTATATCCGATTTCTGAAGTTGGTTGCAGTCTTTTTATCTCACCCTGTAAAAAATATGGTCAACCTCAATTGCATTATGTTTCAACATTTTGAAAATGGCTCTTCACTACACATTTTTTCCTCATCATCTCCCTATTAAGTCCAAAGTTGAATATCCTCACACTTCTGCATTCAAATACTTCCTTCCTCTACCCTCACATTTGTTTATTGTGTCTCTCCCCAGCCCCATCATTTGTTATTATACCTATTATTAAGAGCCTAGCCAGACAGCAATGCTCTTCCTTTTGATTTCGTTGATGATCATTCCATTCAATCAATTAAAACCTACATAGCCCTCTATTGGCCAATTGCACACAAGCGTCGGAATGTCAATCTAGATTAAAGAAATATGATTGAAATAGGCGACTAATTGAATTTGTAACCATGCTTTTTGGTTTTCGAAAAGTCTTTTTTTTCAATACCAATTGATTGTGGCTGATAAGATTGCTCGCCAAGAGACCAACAAAAAAAAACGAAAAAAAAAAAAAAAAACATTCAAAGACCTTAACAAAGTAAATAATGCAAATAAATCAATTTTCGGGGAGGTTTGAAAATTGTTTGTTTTAAATGGAGAGAAACGAAAAGGGAAAGGCATTTATGGAACCTTAAATGGCTTTTCGCTAAATAATTCAATTCATTTTGAAATTCTGGGAAATTCTGGATATTGAAACCATTTCATTATAATTTTCCTTTAGATTTAAAATTTTCAAAATAATTATCCTACAACAAAGTAAATAATGCAAATAAATAAATTTTGGGAGATTGGAATATTTTTCAAAAATTTAATGGCTTTTATGGAGCCTAAATGGTTTTCCCTGCCCATTTCAATTTCAAAATTGATTAGAATTATTGAATAAAGTCATAATTTGAAAATGTTTCAATATTATAATCACAGTATATAGTTCTCCACATACTTAGATTTTATTCCAAAATTATGAAAATCAATTCTACATTCAAAATTTTCTTGAAGCCTTCAAAATTTCAGACTTTTGAAAATTCAATTACAGAGTGAGACAACAAAAAAAAACTGCAACAGAGTCAAACGCCATAATTTTTACATTTTTTTTAAATTTTATTGAATGAAAGCAAACCAGTAAAGAAAGTCCTAAAGTCGGGCGGGGCCGATTTTATGATACCCTTTGCTAACTTAGTAGAGCTCCACATAACAATTAAAAGTTTTTATGGGAGAATTCAATCATGCACCACGCTATGATTATAATTATAATTTAAAATTCAAAGGACTAAATATGCCGAAGCATTTGTATCTTTAAATTCGGACTTGTATTGCCCATTTGGTGAGAAATTAATTTGAAATCGGATAAAAATATATATGGGAACTATATAAAAATTTGAACCGATCTCGATAAAATTTGGCAAAGATATTTCGGAGCTGCATTTGATATATTTCCCCAAATATTGTTGTTACAGAGTGCATATTACGGCTGCGGAGGACAACAAATAACAAATCGGATGAACAATATATATGGGAGCTATAACTATATCTGAACCGATCTTCACCAAATTTGACATACTAGCTTCTAGACTAAATTCGGTCATATGTGCCAAATTTCATCCAATTTGGGCACATATTAGACGTTTGGTGTACAATAAATGGTAAATCGGACGATGTTATATATAGGGGAGCTATATCCAAATCTGAACCGATCTCGATAAAATTTAGCAAAGGTATTTCTGAGCTGCATTTGATATATTTCCTCAAATATTGTTGTTACAGAGTGCATATTACGGCTGCGGAGGACAAAAATAACAAATCGGATTAACAATATATATGGGAGCTATAACTATATCTGAACCGATCTTCACCAAATTTGACATACTAGCTTCTAGATTCAATTCGGTCGTAAGTGCCAAATTTCATCCAATTTGGACAAATATTAGAAGTTTGGTGTACAATAAAAGGTAAATCGGACGAAGTTATATATGGGAGCTATATCCAAATCTGAACCGATCTCGATAAAATTTAGCAAAGGTATTTCTGAGCTGCATTTGATATATTTCCCCAAATATTGTTGTTACAGAGTGCATATTACGGCTGCGGAGGACAACAAATAACAAATCGGATGAACAATATATATGGGAGCTATAACTATATCTGAACCGATCTTCACCAAATTTGACATACTAGCTTCTAGACTAAATTCGGTCGTATGTGTCAAATTCCATCCCATTTGGACAAATGTTAGACGTTTGGTGCACAATAAATTGTAAATCGGACGAAGTTATATTTGGGAGCTATATCCAAATCTGAACCGATCTCGATAAAATTTAGCAAAGGTATTTCTGAGCTGCATTTGATATATTTCCCCAAATATTGTTGTTACAGAGTGCATATTACGACTGCGGAGGACAAAAATAACAAATCGGATGAACAATATATATGGGAGCTATAACTATATCTGAACCGATCTTCACCAAATTTGGCATACTACCTTCTAGACTGAATTCGATCGTATGTGCCAAATTCCATCCCATTTGGACAAATATTAGACGTTTGGTGCACAATAAATGGTAAATCGGACGAAGTTATATATAGGGGAGCTATATCCAAATCTGGACCAATCTCGATAAAATTTGGCAAAGATATTTCTGAGCTGTATTTGATATATTTCCCCAAATATTGTTGTTACAGAGTGCATATTACGGCTGCGGAGGACAAAAAGTAACAAATCGGATGAACAGTATGTATGGGAGCTATAGCTATATCTGAACCGATCTTCACCAAATTTGACATACTAGTTTCTAGACTCAATTCGGTCGTAAGTGCCAAATTCCATCCCATTTGGACAAATATTAGAAGTTTGGTGTACAATAAAAGGTAAATCGGACGAAGTTATATATAGGGGAGCTATATGCAAATCTGAACCGATCTCGATAAAATTTAGCAAAGGTATTTCTGAGCTGCATTTGATATATTTCCCTGAATATCGTTGTTACGGGGAGTGCATATTACGGCTGCGGAGGACAAAAAAAAAAACAAATCGGATGAACAGTATGTATGGGAGCTATAGCTATATCAGAACCGATCTTCACCAAATTTGGCATACTACCTTCTAGACTAAATTCGGTCGTATGTGTCAAATTCCATCCCATTTGGACAAATGTTAGACGTTTGGTGCACAATAAATTGTAAATCGGACGAAGTTATATATGGGAACTATATCCAAATCTGAACCGATCTCGATAAAATTTGGCAAAGATATTTCTGAGCTGTATTTAAAATATATTTCCCTGATTATCGTTGTTACGGAGTGCATATTACGGCTGTGGGTAACAAATACAATAAATCGGATGAACAAGATATATGGGAGCTATAGCTATATCTGAACCGATCTTCACCAAATTTGACATACTAGCTTCTAGACTAAATTCGGTCGTATGTGCCAAATTCCATCCCATTTGGACAAATATTAGACGTTTAGAGCACAATAAATTGTAAATCGGACGAAGTTATATATAGGGGAGCTATATCCAAATCTGAACCGATCTCGATAAAATTTAGCAAAGGTATTTCTGAGCTGCATTTGATATATTTCCCCAAATATTGTTGTTACAGAGTGCATATTACGGCTGCGGAGGACAAAAATAGCAAATCGGATGAACAATATATATGGGAGCTATAGCTATATCTGAACCGATTTCGATCAAATTTGGCATACTTATTTTCAGGCCTAATTTGGTTGTATGTGCAAAATTCCATACTATTCGGGCTGATATTACACGTTTGGTGCACAATATAAGGCAAATCGGACGAAGATATATATGGGAGCTATATCTAAATTTTGACCGATTATCTCCAATTTCAATAGGGTTCGTCCTTGGGCCAAACAAATGTTGTTTGCAAAATTTCATCTCAATCGGATAATAAATGCGACCTGCATTTTGTTCACAGACGGAATACATGGACAGACGGACGGACAGACGGACTGACATGCATAAATCAACTCAGAAAGTGATTCTATGCAGATCATCAATAGGAACTAAGGGTCTATCTCGATTCCTTTTGCCTGTTACAAACAAATTCACAAAGCCATAATACCCTGACCACCTTGTGGTGTAGGGTATAAAAATGTCGGAAATAGCATCAATTTTTAGAATAAGTTTAGATTTGTTTGAATTGGTCACCTTTGGCACGAATTATGGCCTTCAAACGGCCAATGAAATTGTCACACGCTATGCCCGAATGTTGGTCTGCTGTATTTTGGCCCATTCCCGGCGAATGGCCAATGGCCACCAAAATCTTCGGATATTGTGTCTGGAGTATTTTGGAAAGCAAGGTTGGCACTAAAAAATACCAAAGTGTCGATCAAGTCAAGCAAGCGCTTCGCCGTGAAAGGGCCAAAATACCGCAGAGCAACATTCGGACACAGCGTGTGACGATTTCATTGGCCGTTTGAAGGCCAAAATTCGTGCCAAAGATGACCGATTCGAACAAATCTAAACTTATTCTAAAATTTGATGCTATTTCCGACATTTTTTGCTTTCATTCAATAAAATTTTAAAATTATAGCATTTGCGGTTTTTTTATCTCATCCAAAAATTATATAACGAATTTAAAAAATATTATTAAAAATATATTTTTTTTAAACAATTATCTTCTTTTTTTTTAAATTTCCCTATTGTCCCTCTTTCTCTATCTTTTCAGGCACTGCACCGGTTGTACCTTTTATGCCCACCCTGGCCAAACAATTGGGCTATTCAAATGTGGTTGTGGGGACCATGTACGCTATATTGCCGGTAATTGGCATGCTGGCCAAGCCTTTATGTGGATTTATAGCAGATCGGTAAGTATTTTTCAAAATTTCATTTTTTTTTTTCAAAATTATTTCAAATTTTTCCAATTTCCTTTCCCTTTAGATACCAACGCCATCGCAGCCTTTTTATAGCCGCTGAAATTCTAACCGCAGTTGCCTTCTTCGCCATAATGTTCACGCCCGCCATTCCACAACAGCTGCCCTCGGTGACCTTTCATTGTCATGCGGGTGGGGCGAATTTTCATTTTTGCACCGAAGATCAGTGCACGTTAAACGAAATCGAGCGGGACTATCAGGACAAGGCATTAGCATGTAAGCTTAACTGTCCCGCCCAGGCCTTTATGTGGGATATAATATGCAAAGACTGGAACACTACCGGACTGTGTCCGCCTGCAAATGATAATGCAGACATAGATATAAGTGCCACATTCACAAATCTCCTGGTGGAAAGGAATGAAACCTCCAATGAGGGTTGTGTGTTCTTCAGTGTGCCGCACATACATGCCGAAGTGAATGGCCACAATGCAACGATGTATTGTCCCAAGGACAAGCCATATTTTAGCAGCATCTGTTCCATGGACTGCAATGACACCTATTTGGATAGTAAAATAGCCGATAGTCCGGTGATAAGTACCACAGCGGCCATGGGTTTATATCAATTCTGGTGGTTCTTTGGTATGTTGATCATATCATGGATTGGCATGGCGGCTGTGGTCAGTATTGGTGATGCCATTTGTTTTGGCATTTTGGGTGAACGGGCCCATTTGTATGGCAAACAACGTCTCTATGGTTCGGTCGGCTGGGGAATATTCTCCATTTTGGCGGGGGTTTTGGTGGATAAGATGTCGAATGGTGTCGAAAAGGATTACACCATTGTTTTTTGGATGACAGCCGTGCTAATTGGTTTGGATGTTGTGGCCTCAATGAAATTGAAGGTAGGTTTTTTTGAGAAAATGAGATATTTTGAATGTCAAATTTTTTTTGGATTAGGAACTTATATAAAATTCTTCAAACCAAATATTAAAAATTGTCAATTTCACAATACTTCACATATGGAGACTTCAAAAGAATAACCAGAAGTATATACTCTTAAATTGGCAATAAACGTTTTGACAACCTTTCTACAAATACATGATTATTTGGCAGACAATTTTGAAACTTCTAGTTTCGAATTTCATTCGAATTGCAAAAACAATAAAAAAAAATATTCAAATTTGCATTTTCTAAGAACTCTACACAAGGGTAGACTTTAAAATATGGATCAGCGGTGATTTATTTTTATTGCCAGTTATCAGAAAATTATTCAAAACAACATTACGAGCAATTTTGAAAAGTCTCCACTTTTGGAGACTTTTTTAAATTTCTTGGAAATGTGTTTAACTACTTTATAGACATATTTTGAACATTAAACCATCAAAAAACCATCAAAATTTCAATTTCTAAGAACTCTACACTAGTGTAGACTTTGTTAAAATGCTCTAAAATTATTGCCAATAATAATACAACCATTGTGCATAATTTATTTTCATTGCCAGTTATCAGAAAATTTTTCAAAACCACATTTCCAAGGAATTTTGAAAAGTCTCCACTTTTGGAGACTTTTTTAAATTTCTTGGAAATGTGTTAAACTACTTTGTAGATATATTTTGAGCAATAAACAATCAAAAAACCTTCAGAGTTTCAATTTTTAAAAACTCTACACAAGTGTAGACTTGGTAAAAATGCTCTAAAATTTCTAGTATTTATTGCCAATGATAATACAATCATTGTGCATAATTTATTTTCATTGCCAGTTATCAGAAGATTATTCAAAACAAATTTTCAACCAATTTTGAAAACTCTCCACTTTTGGAGACTTTTTTAAATTTCTTGGGAATGTGTTTAACTACTTTATAGACATGTTTTGAAAATTGAACAGTCAAAAAACCAAAAAATATTATATTTTTAAAAACTCTACACAAGTGTAGACTTGATAAAAATGCTCTAAATATTCTAGTTTTTATTGCCAATGATAATACAACAATTGTGCATAATTTATTTTCATTGCCAGTTATCAGAAAATTATTCAAAACCACATTACGAGCAATTTTGAAAACTCTCCACTTTTGGAGACTTTTTTAAATGCCTTGGAAATTACTTGTTAAACTACTTTATAGACACATTTTAAACATTAAACAGTCAAAAACCCTTCAGAGTTTCAATTTTTAAAAACTCTACACAAGTGTAGACTTTGTAAAAATGCTCTAAATTTTCTAGTATTTATTGCCAATGATAATAAAACCATTGTGCATAATTTATTTTCATTGCCAGTTATCAGAAAATTATTCAAAACACAATTTCCATTAATTTTGAAAAGTCTCCACTTTTGGAGACTTTTTTAAATGCCTTGGAAATGTTTTTAACTACTTTATAGAAGTATTCTGAACCATAAACAATCAAAAAACCTTCAAAAATTTTATTTTTAAAAACTCTACACAAGTGTAGACTTTGTAAAAATGCTCTAAATTTTCTAGTATTTATTGACAATGATAATACAACCATTGTGCGTAATTTATTTTCATTGCCAGTTATCAGAAAATTATTCAAAACCACATTACGAGTAATTTTGCAAAGTCTCCACTTCTGGAGACTTTTTTAAATTTCTTGGGAATGTGTTTAACGACTTTATAGATGTATTTTGAACCATAAACATTCAAAAAACCTTCAAAATTTCTAGTTTTAAAAACTCTACACAAGTGTAGACTTGGTAAAAATGTTCTAAATTCTCTGGGTTTTATTGCCAATGACAATACAACCATTGTGCATAATGTTTCCATTCATTTTCGAAAGTCTCCAAAAGTGGAGACTTTTCAAAATTTCCTAATTTTAATTATTTTGATTGAATTTTTCATAAATTGTATTTCGTTGCATGGTATTAGCCAATTTTTTCTTTATAAAAATTATAAAATATCGAGTTTAGGGCCAAAAGTAAAAATGTTGTATTGAAATTTCGATATTCTTTAATAATTGAAAATATTTTAAACCAGCTGTATTAAATTTGAGTGTTTTGTATTATTTTAAATATAAAGTTGTATTTTTAATTTTTTTTTTTTTTGCTATAATAAAATTGATTTGAAGGTTATACTTTGCTTTAAAGTTCCGAATAGCGATTTGTAATAATTCTCCACAAGTGGAGACCTTTTAAGTATTGAGCAAATATGCTTACTTTCATTGTAATTTACTACCGAAGCATTTTAAACAGTATTTCAAGTTATTTTTGAAACTCTACAAAAGTGGAGACTTTTCCAAATTGCATAAAATTTTATAATTTTAAGGAAAATACGTTTAAAAATTTTCTTAAAGCCGAATTTCAAGTGATTTTTGAAACTCTCCAAAAGTGGAGACTTTTTCAATTTGCAAGAAAATTTTATAATTTTAAGAAAAAACGTTTAAAAATTTTCGTAAAGCGGAATTTCAAGTGATTTTTGAAACTCTCCAAAAGTGGAGACTTTTCCACATTGCGTAAAATTTGATAATTTCGAGAAAAATATGTTTAAAAATTCTAATTTTTAATGTTTTTTTTTTCATCTCTGATCTCTCTCTCTCTCTCTTTACAGCACACCCAAACCCACTTATCGCCCAACATCCTCAAAGATGTGGGTCAAATGTTCCTCTCCATTCGATGTCTGATCTTTTTCATATGGTGCATCTTCATTGGTCTGGGTACCGCTCTCATTTGGAACTTTTTATTTGTACACTTGGAAACGTTGGGCGGCTGTGATGCCACCTATATGAAAACTCTACAAGGTTTTGTTATGTCCATTCAATGTTTCTGTGGAGAGTTGCCGTTTTTCTTTTTCTCCGGTTGGATTTTAAAGAAAATCGGTCATGTGAATGCCATGAGCATGGTGCTATTCGGTTTCGGTGTACGTTTTATATTGTACTCTATGCTGCAGGATCCATGGTATGTATTGCCCATTGAGCTGCTGAACGGAGTGACCTTTGGTCTATTCTATGCAACAATGGCATCGTATGCGAGCATTGTTGCACCGCCCGGTACGGAGACCACAATGCAGGTGAGTAGATGGAATTTGAAATGTTTTAATTTTTTGGGGGAAGTCCCATGGGGTTCCTTTTGATTTTTATACCCTTAGACATATGGCTAGAGAGGACGGTATATATCATTTGAAACGGGCAAAACGTGCGTAATCGAAATAACCGTTTTAGACTCTAGGTCTCTTTGGATGAAATCCGTTTCAGGCCATTTGGAGTCGATCTAGGGATGTCCGTCCGTCTGTCTGGCTGACTGATACGCACCATAACATCGTAATATTATTATCAAACTTTGATCAAGTTTGGAGATGAGCAATATCGATCCCCTCCTTCTGGCACCTCTCTCACAAAAGGTCCAAAATTTCAGAGAATATAATTTACTGCACAGAAAGAGAAAGGGTAGCCCGATTTTTCTCCAACTTTGCAAATCCAAATATTTGCATCAGTGCTACAGCAGGTGCGAAAATGGGCAATATCGTTCTACTCCATCAAGTACCTCCCCCACAAAGGGTCAAAATTTTGAATAATTAAAACACTTGTAAAATGTTATGTGATTGTCCTATTGTCTTCAAATTACACACATCACAATATTTTTATTAATCCAAGTTCTGGTGTGAAGATGGGATATGCCGGCACACTTCTTCTGGTACCTACCCCACAAAGGGTCAAAATTTTGAATATCCATGTAGCTCATAAAACACAAAATTAACATCCGATCCCATTCAGACTTGGCACATCTCATTATATCTACTAACACAAGATCTGCTGCAAAGATGGAATATATCGGTGCACTCCTTCTGGTACCTCCTCCACAAAGGGTCAAAATTTTTGAATATCCATGAAGCTCCTAAAACGCGAAATTAACATCCGATTTCATTGAGACTTGGTACACCTCAATATTTCCATCAACACAAGATCTGTTAGAAAGATGGTAAAGATCGGATCATTCCTTCAGGTACCTCCCCCACAAAGGGTCAAAGTTTCGAATAACCGAAACGATTATAAAATCCGAAATAAGCATCCGGTTCTCTTCATATTTCACACATCCCATTATTTCTACTAACACAAGATCTGTTGCAAAGATGGTAGATATCGGACCACTCCTTCTGGTACCTCCCCCACAAAGGGTCAAAATTTTGAATATCCATGAAGCTCCTAAAACGCGTAATTAACATCCGATTCCATTCAGACTTGGCAAATCTCAATATTTTTATCAACGAAAGATCTGTTATAAATATGGTAGCGATCGGACCATTCCTTTTGGTACCTCCCCCACAATTGGATCAAAGTTTCGAATAACCGAAACGTTTATTAAATCCGAAATACGCATCCGGTTCTATTCAAATTGTACACATCAAAATATTTTTATTAACCCAAGACCTGGTATGAAGATAGAATACATCGGTCCCCTCCTTCTGGTACCTCCCCCACAAAGGGTCAAAATTTTTGAATGTCCTTGAAGCTCCTAAGACGCGAAATTAACATACGATTCCATTGAGACTTGGTACACCTCAATATTTTCATCAACACAAGATCTGTTAGAAAGATGGTAGAGATTGGATCATTCCTTCAGGTACCTCCCCCACAAAGGGTCAAAGTTTCGAATAACCGAAACGATTATAAAATCCGAAATAAGCATCCGATTCTCTTCATATTTCACACATCCCATTATTGCTACTAACACAAGATATGCTGTAAAGATGGGAGAGATCGGACCACTCCTTCTGGTACCTCCCCCACAAAGGGTCAACATTTTGAATATCCATGAAACTCCTAAAACACGTAATTAACATCCGATTCCATTCAGACTTGGCAAATCTCAATATTTCCATCAACACAAGATCTGTTATAAATATGGTAGTGATCGGACCATTCCTTCTGGTACCTCCCCCACAAAGGGTCAAAGTTTCGAATAACCAAAACGATCATAAAATCCAAAATACGCATCCGGTTGTCTTCAAATTTCACACATCCCATTATTTCTACTAACACAAGATCTGGTGCAAAGATGGGATATATCGGTCCACTCCTTCCGGTACCTCTCCCACAAAGGTCCAACATTTTGAATATCCATGAAGCTCCTAAAACGCGAAATTAACATCCGATTCCGCGTTGTAATATTTATATCAGTCCTAGGCCAAATACGAATTGGTTAATATTGGCCAACTGCTTTGGAACCTCCTCCATAGAGGGTTAACAGTTAGAATAATCATAACTTAAGGGTGGGGGTACACCATTTGTCGGCAAAACCGACTAGTAATATTTTTACTTGTTCTTTATAGAAATACTACTCGGAGATAACCTCCCTTTAAAGAAAAAGATTATCGAGGATGAATTTTCATCGTCTCTCTTGACCTCTCCAATAGAAAATTTCATCGGAAATTCTAGATAAATATTTAATTCTCTATTTTTGAAAATTTTCCAGGGTCTGGTTGGTGCCATTTTCGAAGGCGTTGGTGTTTCTGTGGGCAGTTTAATTGCTGGCTATCTCTTCGATTCCATTGGTGGTGGTCATACATTTGAAATCTTCGGTGTGGCCGCATTTGTGGCCTTCATTATTCACGTGTGTGTGCAAATGTATTTGCAGCGTCATCACTCCAGCAGCGATACTGAAAATGGTAAGCAAATTGATGATAAAGCTCCAACGGCAGAAAATCCCATACTCCATGAAGATGGTAATGTCGATATTGAGTCGAATAGTAATGCGGCCACCCAGACCAATAGTAGTGAGGTGGAGCCGCCCAACAACGGCTCCTCATAACAGTGTCTGCTGTTGTGGGAAACAAATTTATAAAAGTTTCCAAACCCAGGGAGCTTCATTTTTTTTTTTTTTAACCAAAAGACGAATTTAGAGATTTTTTATAAGAGATTTTAAAAGTTTACGATATTGTTCAATATTTTTTGTTTTTATTTGGTTTTGTGTTTTTTTTTTTTTTTTGTAAAAAAAAGAAAATTGTTGTTTTGTTTATTTTTTGCGTATTTTTTTATAACAATAAACAATTTTTATACCAAATATGGTGTTGGAAGGCAAACAGAATTTTAGCCAGACATTTTTCAAGATAAGCTGTACTAATTTTCCAGATAATTTCATTGGTTTAAGAGACCTTGGCGGGGCAAAATCACATGCCAAATAAAAGTGGATATGCCCATGTGTGATATAATAACTACAACATATCGATTTCAGAGAGAGAGAGAGCGATTTGAAAAAAAAAATCCCAAAATTCATTCTCTTCGATGATAGATGATAAACAGGGTCATCTACTCGTGAGATTCTCTTATTTATATTTGGAGTTATTTTTTATATACTTTCATAAATATACAGGGTGAGATGAAGAAACTGCAACCAACTTCAGACTGCTGTCATATGTCTAAGCCACTCGTCCGACAGCCGACTAAAATTATTCCCGGGACAGCTCATTATATTGTTTACAAGCGTTCGAAAGCATTTTGGTGAGAATTTTCCAGAAAAAAAAGTTATTCGCGATTCGTGGACTTCAAGCGTGTGATGTGTGATTTCTTTATATGTGGCTGGAAACCCACAAATGGCTATCGTTAGAGCACTCCAGCATTTAAATGGGAATAAATCTTTTGTGTCTCGCACCATCGCTCGTTACCGTGATACTGCCGTGAGTGTAGCCCGACGACGTCAAGGAAGTGGACGTCAAGGAAACATAAACATCAGCAGAAATGTTTCGAGAAGTAAAAAAGCGACTTCATCGAAACCCCCGTTGCGGTGGCCGAAAAAAATGGCTTGTGAGCTGAACATATCGCAATGTCCCATTCGGCAAATATTGAGAAATGACCCATTGAAGTTCCAACAAAGTGCAAGAACTTACACCGCAGAATTGGTTCGAAAAGGAAAGAAGCGACTTCATCGAAACCCGCGTCGCATTAGCCGAAAAATGGCTTGTGAGCTGAACATATGGCAACATTTCATTCGGCAAATATTGAAAAATGAGCTTCTCGGGGTAAAGCCATTGAAATTCGAAAAAAGGGCAAGAACTTACACCGCAGAAATGGTTCGAAAAGTAAAGAAGCGACTTGTTCGAAACACGCGTCACTGTGGCCGATGGATGGAATGGCTCGAGAGCTGAACATATCGCAATATCTATACCATTCGAAAAATATTAAAAAATGAGCTCCTCGGGGTAAAGCCATTGAAATTCCAAAAAAAAAATGCAAGAACTTACACCGCAGAAATGGTGCGAAAATTTCGAACTTCATCGTCACAGTGGCCGATGGATGGAATGAGCTGAACATATCGCAATATCCATTCCATTCGGCAATTATTGAAAAATGAGCTCCTCGCGGTAAAAAAAGGACAAGAACTTACACCGCAGAAATGGTTCGAAAAGTGAAGAAGCTACTTGTTCGAAACCCGCGTCGTAGTGGGCGACGGATGGAATGGCTCGTGAGCTGAACATATCGCAATATCTATTCCATTCCGCAAATATTGAAAAATGAGCTCCTCGTGGTAAAGCCAGAAAGAAAAATTGACTCAAAAGAGCTAAAGAGTTGCTTCGCTTGGCCGAAAGTGGTAAACTACCGAATTTGGTTTTCTCCGATGAGAAAACATTCATTGTCCAGCAGTTTGTAAACAATCAAAAGGATCGTGTTTTCTTGCCAAAGAGGTCAGCTGAAAATGTGCACCTTCGGTTGGCCACCCGAAACTCAAGCGCCGGCCATGGTGATGGTGTGGCGGCCCCCATAACAGCCGATGGTCGTTCTCCGCTCGTATTAATCGACCATGGCATCAGAATAAATGCCGAATATTATCGCGAAAATATTCTGGAGGGTGTATTAAAGCCTTGGGCACGCAAACGTTTTGGTCGCAGACTTTGGGCATTCCAACAGGACCCAGCACCATCGCAGTTGAAAATGTGCACCTTCGGAACTCAAGCGCCGGCCATGCTGATGATGGTGGATCGGCCAAAACAGCCGATGCTAGCTCTCCGCTCGTATTAATCGACCGTGGCATCAAAATAAATGTCGAATATTATCACGAAAATATTCTGGAGGGTGTATTAAAGCCTTGGGCACGCAAATATTTTGGCCGCAGACTTTGGGCATTTCAACAGGACTCAGCACCATCGCAAAGTGGTTACAAAATTAGGTTCCTCGCTTCATTTCCAGCCCACAATGGCCACCAAAAACTTCCGGATACTATTGTGTCTGGAGTATTTTCGAATGCAAGTGTGGCACTAAAAAATATCAAAGTGTCGATCACCTCAAATACCAACAGGACTCAGTACGCGCCACCCAAGAATGGATAAAAAATGAGGTTCCTCCTCGCTTCATTTCCAGCACACAATGGTCACCAAAATTTCCGGATACCAATCCTTGTTGGACTATTGTGTCTGGAGTATTTTGAAAAGCAAGATCGGCACTAAAAAATACCAAGGTGGCGATCACATCAAGCAAGCGCTTCGCCGGTAATGGGGCAAAACACCGCACAGCAACATTCGGGCAGCGTGTGACGGTTTCATTGGCCATTTGAAGTCCATAATTCGTGCCAAAGGTGGCCAATTCGAATAAATCTAAACTTATTCTAAAATTTGAAGCTATTTCCGACATTTTTTTCTTTCATTCAATAATTTTTTTTTAATAAAGGAAAAATTATGGCCTTTAACTTTGTTGCAGTTTTTTTTTTTTTTCATCTCACCCTGTATATCTATTGTTATTTCTTACATCCCATAATATATATGTATGTCTTTTGTTGAAATTTGTAACTAATTTTCAAATTTTCTTTTATTTTTTTTAATATTTTAGGCACTGTTAAATATTTAGCGCCTACAGATGCCATGCATATGCTTAACGATCAAGAATTTCTAACGTAGATGTGGGCTGTGTGTAAACGTTAACATTATCGTATAGATGTTTTATTATCATTTTTTTTTTAATTTTGAGAATGTGTTTATAATTTTTAAGTAGTTTATTTTTTTTTCAAAATGGCAGTTTGATGAAAGGGTATTTGATTTTTATCACGTTGGCTTAATATTTCAAAAAAAAAAAAAAAAAAAAGATGTGAGGAGTCATACGAAAAAAATTTAAACTAAAAATTTAAGAACACCTGCAAAAATAGTAGATATTTCCTGGTTGTGATATGAAGTATTGGTCCGGTGAAAGATAGTCTTCAGATTGTGTACTTTTAGTACAGCCAGGGATGATAATTCATGGCTCTTAACTCAAATCTTTTGAGAGCAATTTCCATTTTTTTAAACAGTTTCCCCAATTTTATATCCCGTTGACATAGTATTTAAATTTTTTTTGTAACTATTTCATAAAAATTCAAAAAAATCAAACTTGGCTGAAAAATTTTGGTCCTAACCTCAAATAGGACCAGGGCTAATGGTTATAACATCAAATCTTTGGAGAGCAATTTCCAATTTTTTGAAGAATTTTCCAATTTTATATCCTGGTAGCAAAGCATTTCATTTTTTTAAATAATTTTTAACAATTCAAAAAAATCAAACTCGGCTGAAAAATTATGGTCCTAACCTCAAATTTTTGGGATATAGTTTTCAAGTGGTTTTTAAAGATTTTCTTATTTTCTTTTAACAGCGTTCTACTTAATATTTTATTAATGACATTAGTTTTCACTTAACATTTAATTATTTCAAAAAAATTCAAAAAATTACATAGGGCTGAAAAGTCGTGGTCCTAACCTCAAAATTCATTGGTGAAAATTGTCAAATTTTTACAAAACATTTTGCAATTTCAGCCTTGGCAAGACAAGATTCTGTGAAAAATTCAAGTTTTTTTCTATAAAACCTGAAAAAATGTTCCTTGAACTGAAAAGTCGTGGTCCTAACCTCAAAAATCTTTGGTAAAAATTGTCAAAATTTTCCAAAATATTTTGGAAATTCTCCCTTAGCAAGAAAAGATTCTGTGAAAAATTCAACTTTTAAAAATTTTCCTTGGCCTGAAAAGTGGTGCTCCTAGCCCTAAAATTTGATGGTGAAAATTGTCAAATTTTTCCAAAACATTTTGGAATTTCAACCTTGGCAAGACAAGATTCTGTGAAAAATTCAAGTTTTTTCTATAATAACTGAAAAAATTTTCTTAGACTGAAAAATCGTGGCCCTAACCTCAAAATTCGTTGGAGAAAATTTTCAATATTTTTTCAAAAAATTTAAAAACTTTTGTCATTGCCAAATAAGATTCTAACAAAAATTCAAAATTTTCCTATAAAATGTGAAAAATTATCGATGGGCTGAAAAAAACTCGGCTGAAAAATTATGGTCCTAACCTCAAATTTTTGGGATATAGTTTTCAAGGGGTTTTTAAAGATTTTCTTATTTTTTTAACAGCGTTCTACTTAATATTTTATTAATGACATTAGTTTTCACTTAACATTTAATTATTTCAAAAAAATTCAAAAAATTACCTAGGGCTGAAAAGTCGTGGTCCTAACCTCAAAATTCTTTGGTGAAAATTGTCAAAATTTTCCAAAACATTTTCGAAATTCAGCCTTGACAAGACAAGATTCTGTGAAAATCAAGTTTTTTTTTTCTATAAAACCTGAGAATATTTTCCTTGAACTGAAAAATCGTGGTTCTAACCTCAAAATTTATTGGCGAAAATTTTCACATTTTTCCAAAACATTTTGGAATTTCAGCCTTGGCAAGACAAGATTCTGTGACAAATTCAAGTTTTTTTCTATAAAACCTGAGAATATTTTCCTTGAACTGAAAAATCGTGGTCCTAACCTAAAAATTCTTTGGTGAAAATTGTCAAAATTTTCCAAAACATTTTCGAAATTTAGCCTTGGCAAGACAAGATTCTGGGAACAATTCAAGTTTTTTTCTATAAAATCTGAAAAATTTTCCTTGAACTGAAAAATCGTGGTCCTAACCTTAAAATTCTTTGGTGAAAATTATCAAAATTTTCCAAAACATTTTGGAAATTCAGCCTTGGCAAGACAAGATTCTGTGAAAAATTCAAGATTTTTTCTATAAAATCTGAAAAATTTTCCTTGAACTGAAAAGTCGTGGTCCTAACCTCAAAATTCTTTGGTGAAAATCGTCAACATTTTCTAAAACATTTTGGAAATTCAGCCTTGGCAAACAAGATTCTGTGAAAATCAAGTTTTTTTCTATAAAACCTGAGAATATTTTCCTTGAACTGAAAAATCGTGGTTCTAACCTCAAAATTTATTGGCGAAAATTTTCACATTTTTCCAAAACATTTTGGAAATTCAGCCTTGGCAAGACAAGATTCTGTGAAAAATTCAAGATTTTTTCTATAAAATCTGAAAAATTTTCCTTGAACTGAAAAGTCGTGGTCCTAACCTCAAAATTCTTTGGTGAAAATCGTCAACATTTTCTAAAACATTTTGGAAATTCAGCCTTGGCAAACAAGATTCTGTGAAAATCAAGTTTTTTTCTATAAAACCTGAGAATATTTTCCTTGAACTGAAAAATCGTGGTTCTAACCTCAAAATTTATTGGCGAAAATTTTCACATTTTTCCAAAACATTTTGGAATTTCAGCCTTGGCAAGACAAGATTCTGTGACAAATTTAAGTTTTTTCTATAATATTTGAAAATTTGTCCTTGGATTGAAAAATCGTGGTTCTAACCTCTAAATTCATTGGCGAAAATTGTCAAAATTTTCCAAAACATTTTGGAAATTCTGCCTTGGCAAGACAAGATTCTGTGAAAATTAAGTTTTTTCCTATAAAACCTGAGAATATTTTCCTTGAACCTCAAAATTTATAGGCGAAAATTTTCACATTTTTCCAAAACATTTTGGAATTTCAGCCTTGGCAAGACAAGATTCTGTGAAAAATTCAAGTTTTTTCTATAATATTTGAAAATTTGTCCTTGGATTGAAAAATCGTGGTTCTAACCTCTAAATTCATTGGCGAAAATTGTCAAAATTTCCCAATCATTTTGGAAATTCTGCCTTGGCAAGACAAGATTTTGTGAAAAATTCAAGATTTTTTCTATAAAATCTGAAAAATTTTCCTTGAACTGAAAAATCGTGGTCCTAACCTCAAAATTCATTGGTAAAAATTGTCAAAATTTTCCAAAATATTTTGGAAATTCTCCCTTAGCAAGAAAAGATTCTGTGAAAATCAAGTTTTTTTTCTATAAAACCTGAGAATATTTTCCTTGAACTGAAAAATCGTGGTTCTAACCCTAAAATTCGTTGGTGAAAATTATCAACATTTTCCAAAACATTGTGGAAATTCAGCCTTGGCAGGACAAGATTCTGTCAAAAATTAGTATTATTTTTTTTTAATGCGTAAATTTTTCCTTGGCCTGAAAAGTGGTAGTGGTCCTAACCCTAAAATTTGTTGGTGAAAATTGTCAAATTTTTCCAAAACAATTTGGAATTTCAGCCCTGGCAAGGGCCATTACTAAAAAATTTTTAGTAATTTTTTTTACCTTCAATTAGTCAAAATTAAGCCCTTGCATTTGAATTCAATATTCTTTTATGCCACACCAAATATTTCACATTTTTAGCCAACGTTTTAAAAAGAAATACCCGGCCATGTTTTTAGATTTTAACTTTCTAAATATCCTTTTGTTTAAAAAAAAAGAATTTAATTACCTAGTGTTATGTGTATGTACTTTTATAACTAGACTTGCTTTAGCAATTTAACTTATTTATTAGTTTTTAATTTATAGATTTTTAAATGAAAAACAAACTCTAAAAATTGTAAAACATTATGCATGTTTCTAAATTCTCAATTTCCTTTAAAAGGCAACGAATTTTTAATTTAAATAAAAAATAAATATGATTTCATTAATAATGTCATTCCAAATGTTTATAAATTAAAATACTACTGCATGTTTTTGTAACTTGTCATTAAAAATAAGAATTGCATAGAAAGAAAAAAAAAAGAGAGAAAAAAACAAGTATTTAAATAATTTTATTTAGGCATGTTTAAATTATAAAATTTTAACAAAAAAGTATACATCTATATCTAGCTTATAATTAAATTTTATTATTTTTTTGTAATTGTTAGAAAACCAAAGTCTTAGATAGTTTTCTTTGTAAAAACAAAATTAAATTAAAATTTTGAATTTTATTTATATTAAAAAAAAAAAAACGATAACAAATAAAGTCTTCATAACTTATTAAGGGAATATTAAAAAAATTTGAAAAAATTGTTTTATTTGAAAATATTTTTTTGTTGAAAACAAGCAAAATTATAAAAAAAATTGGAATTTGTAATTTTTTTAATTTATTTGCTTTTTTTTATAAAATCAAAATTTTTAAATTATATATAAAATTATTTTTTTAATTATATATAAAATCAAGAGATTTTTTTAAATGATATATAATATTTTTTTAATTAATTTTTTTTTTATTTTTCGATTTTTACCTTTGAAAATGATTAACATTTTTTGATTTAGATATTTTTTTATTTTCTTTTTATGATATTCATTTCCATTTTTTATTTTATAAAATATTGGGATTTGTAATTTTGTTACACCGAAAATTTTTGTTTTATAAAATCAATGTTTTTTTTTCTAAATTATATATAAAATCAAGGGATTTTTTTTAATTATATATAAAATCAAAAGATTTTTTTTAAATCATATATAATTTTTTTTTTACCTTTGAAAATGATTAACATTTTTGATTTATTTTTTTTATTTTCTTTTTATTTTAATTTTAAATTATTAAATTATCATTTTTTGTTTTAATATTGTAAACGTAATTTTTTATTATTTTCTTGCATTTTTGCATTCAAATATTATTTACTGAACTATTTTCACTTTTATTGTAATTGTATTATCGATCCTCTCGTTAATTTCCATAATATTCTTTTCCATTATTTATTTTATAAAATATTGGAATTTGTAATTTTGTTACGCCGAAATTTTTTGTGGATTTTTTTTATTTTTTTTTTTTTATAAAATCAACAATTTTTTTTTCTAAATTATATATAAAATCAAGGGATTTTTTTTAATTATATATAAAATCAAAAGATTTTTTTAAATTATATATAAATTTTTTGCTTAAATTTTTTTATTATTTTTTATTTTTACCTTTGAAAATGATTAATATTTTTAAATTTAGATAATTTTTTTTTTAATTTTTAATTATTTATTTTATATTTTAATATTTATAACGTAATTTTTTTTTATTATTTTTTGCATTTAAAATTAAATACTATTTACTGAACTATTTTCTGTTTTTTTTTATAATTTTATTATCTACTTTCTCGTTAATTTCCATGATATTCTTTTCCATTATTCATTTTATAAAATATTGGAATTGTATTGTTGTTATGCCGAAAATTTTTGTGGATTTTTTTTATAAAATCAAAAATTTTTAAAAAAAATTCAACGGATTTTTTTTTAATTATATATAAAATCAAGAGATTTTTTTAAAATGATATATAATATTTTTTTAATTTTTTTTTTAATTAAAATGATTAACATTTTTTGATTTAGACATTTTTTTACTTTTTATTTTAATTTTAAATATTTTAATTACTACTATTTTTTAGTTTAATATTAAAATCGTATTTTTTTTATTATTTTTTGCAATTTAAATCAAATATTATTTATTGCACTATTTTTTTATCTACCTTCGCGTTAATTTCCATGATATTTTTACATTTTTTATTTTATAAAATATTCTAATTTTTTTATCCCGAAAATTTTGCGGATATTATTTTTATTTTTTTATAAAATCAAAAGATTTTTTTTAAATTATATATAATCTTTATCTCTTTTTTTTTTTTTTGAATTCAAATGTGTTTTTTTTTTTTTTGTTGTTATTTTTTAATTAAAAAATATGATTTTTACCTTTGAAAATGATTAATATTTTTTTTTATTTTAGATAATTTTTTGTTATGCCGAAATTTTTTGTGGATATTATTATTATTTTTTTTTTTTTTAATAAAATCAACATTTTTAAATTATATAAAATCAACAGATTTTTAAAATTATATATAATTTTTTTTTGAATTAAAATGTTTTTTTTATTCTTTTTTTTAAATTAAAACATTTGATTTTCACCTTTGAAAATTATTAATATTTTTTAATTTAGATAATTTTTTATTTATTTATTTTTTAATTTTAATTTATTTAATTATTATTATATTTTTTTGTTTTAATATAAAATACGTAATTTTTTATAATTTTTTTTTTTTTTTTTGCATTTAAAATATTATTTATTGCACTATTTTCGTTTTTTTTATAATTTATTATCTACTTTACCGTGACATTCTTTTCCCATTATTTCTTTTTTCTTTGTAACAACAAATTCACTAAAAATTAAAAAAAAAAACTTATATTCATTTTTTTCTCAATACTATTGTGGTTCCTCATGATGCTGTTGTTGCTGCTGCTGTTGTTGTTGTTGTTTGGCAATTAATGATTCTTCGTGTTGTTGTTTTTGTAATTTCTTTTGTAGCTCCTTCTCTTTGCACGACTGTATGTTTAGAGCTCTTTTCTATGATTTCGAAAAATATATATAAAATAAAATAAATATTTTTTGTTGTTTTTTGTTTTTCATATTTAAATTTGTTTTTAATTTTAGATGTGTTATATTACAACTATTTTAGAATTTATTATTAAATTTTTTTTAAAACAAAAAAAATTATCATACCTTCAGCACTTTGGATCTCTGATAAATGTTTTGCATTTGTTTCTTAATTTTCAATAATTTTTCCCGATACTCTTTGACATCAGTCATCTGAAAAAAAAAAAAAAACATTTTTTTGGGAGTTTATACAAAATGATTAAATAAAATTTTATCTGAATGGTGTAGAGATGCCAGTGGAAGAAATGTTGTAAAAAAGCTGTTCTTCAATATCGACCAGTTCGTATCTGACCTAAGACTGATATAGATATTACGACGTATCAGATTTAGTCTATATCGACAACTTCCTATACTTTATATGTGACATGTGCAAATTTTTGGAAAATATCCGTGAGGTACCGAAATATTCCATTTTCATTCTACATCTAATACTGATAAAAAATATTGATATGTGCAAAATTTTGAAGGAAATCGAACATTTATATATCGAATTTTATGCGAAATCATAAATTTCGTTAAATTACATATTCAAATCAGATTTGTGGTTAAGAGAAATATTTAGGCATTGCAAGTTGTAAAGAATCGCCGAATTGTTTCGCAAGTTATGACAGATATAAGAATTGGAAATTGTGACCCTTTGTGGGTGAGGTACCCTTAAAGGGTTGGCAGATATATGTATATCATCTTCACAATAGATCTTACGTTAGCTAAAATATTTGGATGTGTGAAATTTGAAGAAAATCGGATGCTTATTTCGCTTTCTTTGAACGTTTTTTTTTCAAAATCTTGAACCCTATGTGGGGGAGTTATCAGTTGAAATGATCCGACATCTAACATCTTTATAACAGATCTTGTGTTGATGGAAATATTGAGATGTACCAAGTCTGAATGGAATCGGATGTTAATTTCGTATTTTATGAGCTTCGTGAATATTCAAAATTTCGACCCTTTGTGGGGGAGGTGCCAGAAGGAGTGGCCCCATATATTCCATCTTCACACCAGACCTTTGAATAATAAAAATATTGTGATGTGTGTAATTTGAAGACAATCGGACACTTGCATCACATTTTGTAAGAGTTATAATAATTCAAAATTTTTACCCTTTGTGGAGGAGGTACCAGAAGGAGTGGACCGATATATTCTATCTTCACACCAGACCTTGGGTTAATAAAAATATTGTGATGTGTGTAATTTGAAGACAATCGGACACTTGCATCACATTTTGTAAGAGTTATAATTATTCAAAATTTTTACCCTTTGTGGGCGAGGCACCAGAAGGAATGGTCCAATCTTTACCATCTTTATAGCAGATCTTTTGTTGATGGAAATATTTAGATGTGCCAAGTCTGAATCAAATCGGGTATTAATTTCGTGTTTTATGCGCTTCAAAATATTCAAAATTTTGACCCTTTGTGGGCGAGGTACCAGAGGGGGTGGGCCGATACATTCTATCTTCACGCCACACCTTGGGTTAAAAAAATATTGTGATGTGTGAAATTTGAAGAGATCCGAATGTTTTTTTCGGATTTTATGATCGTTTTTGTTATTAAAAACTTTGACCCTTTGTGGAGGAGGTACCAGAAGGAATGTTCCGATCTCTACCATCTTTATAACAGGTCTTGTGGTGATGGAAATATTAAGATGTGCCAAGTCTGAATGGAATCGCATGTTAATTTCGTGTTTTATGAGCTTCAGAAATATTCAAAATGTTTACCCTTTGTGGGCGAGATACCAGAAGGAATGGTCCGATCTCTTCCATCTTTATAACATATCTTGTGTTGATGGAAATATTGAGTTATACCAAGTCTGAATGGAATCGGATATTAATTTCGTGTTTTATGAGCTTCATAAATATCCAAAATTTTGACCCTTTGTGGGGGAGGTACCAGAGGGGGTGGACCAATATATTCCATCTTCACACTAGACCTTTGATTAATAAAAATATTGTGATGTTTGTAATTTGAAGACAATAGGACACTTACATCACATTTTATAAGAGTTATAATTATTCAACATTTTTACCCTTTGTGGGGGAGGTACCAGAAGGAGTGGACCGATATATTAAAAATAAAAATATTATGATGTGTGAAATTTGAAGGCAATCAGATTTTTTTTCGCGTTTTATAAACGTTTTGTTAATTCAAAATTGTTACCCTTTGTGGGGGAGTTACTTGATGGAGTGGACCTATGCTGTCCATTTTCGCACCTGACCTAGCACTGATGTAAATATTACGATTTGCAAAGTTGGAGCAAAATCGGATTATCCTTTCTGTTTTTGTGCAGTAAATTATTTTCTTTGAAATGTTGACATTTTTGGGAGGGGGGAGGTACCAGAACGAGTGGACCGATTTTGTCCATCTCCGAACTTGATCTAAGTTTGAAAATAATATTACGATGTACCACGGTTGTATACAAATGGGATACTACCTTCGGGTACTCCCTTCTTTATCGTGCACACCAGCTAGCCAGATGGACGGACAAATGTCCTAAAATGGATTTGGTCCAAAGAGACCTAGGCTCTAAAACCGTTATTTCGATGAGACACATTTTGGCCGTAATATTTTTCAATTAACTTATCAATAGGTTTTTATGTTGTCTTGTCTCAACTGCTTGTATTCTGTTTAAACTATCACTTAAGATGGCTATTTTTGACAAATTATTGTTCCGAGCAACAATTATTGCTTTCAAAAAAGCCAGTATTTCCGCTGACATGGGTAATGGATAGTATGAGTGGTATATAAAATGTTTTATAGATAATATCTCTTTCATAACACATCCTAAAACATTTTCCTCAAATAACTATTTTTATGGCTCCAAACATGGGGTAACAAATTACTCTCCTTACCATATCTTGTAATTTGGCAACTTCACCATTGTCCAGCTTGAATTTTTCCGCCGACAAATCTATATAGATTTTATTCTGTTTGCCACTAGAAAAAGGAGTTATTTTTCAATTCTAAATAATAAAAATACTCCACCACACTCTCTCCACTTACATTAACTCCTTGAGCTGTGTCCTTGCCTTGGCCAATGGCGGAGAATACAACTGCATAAAACCCGCTGTTAATTGTAAGGCCGCTAGGGAGGATGTGGAGGGTGACGAAGCTTCATCTGTGGGATCTGTAGATGGTTGACTCTTCTCAGCATTGTTCTTTTCATTATTGTTATTATTTAATGAATTCAGATTATTATTTGTGGGAGATTGTATCGAGGTTATTTGATCGCTGCTGCCAGCTTCATCCAATTCCAGTGTTGTAGGTCTTAATGCTTCGAATGTATCTGCTTGACTGAATGCCGATAAGTCATCGATAATGCTATGGTTGGTGGTTGGAGAAAACAAAAACAAAAGGTTAATAAAAAAATTTATAATTGAAATTAAAGACAGATTGAGTTGTAAACAAAAAAAAAAACAACAAAAAAACAACAAAACGAACAAGTCATTAACAATGGCAACAAATAATGTTTCACTTATCTCATAATTATACAACCATAAAATAAAGCACGTATTCTCTTGGTACAAAGAAGGTAGGTTTTTTAAGATAAGTTCAATATGTATGCGATATCTCAAAAGTGTAGACGTTTTGGAAATTCCGAAATTGCTAAAGTGGATATACTTAAATGATGAAAATAGTATCAGTGGGTTATGCCGACAGATGCCTTTAGTTATGATTACTCAAACTGTGGACCCTTCCCAAGCAGTTGGCCAATATTGACCAATTCATATCTGACCTAACCGATCACTACTATATTTACGTCAGATCTTGTGTTGATGGAAATATTGAGATGCGGCAAGTCTGAATGGAATTGGATGTTAATTTCGTGTTTTATGGGCTTGATGAATATTCAAAATTTTGACCCTTTGTGGGGGAGGTACCAGAAGGTGTGGGCCGATATATTCCATCTTCACACCAAACATTGGAATAATAAAAATCGTACACTTACATAACATTTTATAAGAGTTATAATTATTTAAAATTTTGACCCTTTGTGGGGGGACGTACTTGATGGAGTGGACCAATATTGTCCATTTTCGCACCTGACCTAGCTCTGATGCAAATATTAGGATTTGCAAAGTTGAATTATCCTTTTTCTTTCTGTGCAGTAAATTATTTTCTTTGAAAATGTTAACATTTTGGGGGGGGGGGGGGGAGGTACCAGAAGTACTGGAGCGATATTACCCATCACCGAACACGATCTAAGTTTGACAATAATATTGCGATATACCATGTTTGAATCAAATGCGATACTCCCATCGAGAGTTATAATGCACACCAGACAGACGAACGGATATCGCTAGATCGAATCCAAATGTCCTAAGGGTAAAACCCTTATTTCGATGAGGTACATTTTGGTCGTATCAGATGATATATACCCTCTCTAGCCTCTCCATTTGACTAAGGGTATAATAATGACATATTGCATTCGTGGCTCAATTAGTTGTGTTGCCATAGAATAGTTTGCTGGCAATTATCGCTTTCAATATCATGTTTTGAAATAGTCTGATTACCAGATGAAGATTTGGGAATGTAGTAACGGGCGAAATGAAGGCGGTGTGTATACTTCTTCTGGATTTTAACCAAAAGTTTTCTTTTAGGAAGACAACTCTATTTGTCTTTTCTATAGCTCGTTCCTCTTTGCAAACATTCGACCCATATTTTAGCTATGACACTTGTTCGCCCATTGTTGACAAAATCCGCCAAAGTCTTGGGAATTTTTCAAAACTTGACTTGTTTTGTTGCTTTTTGCTCCTCCTACTATAGGGCACTTGTTATTTTGTAAAAACTTGTTGATACACCTGTTGACCGACCTGGCCTGTTGATGTAAGATGGCAATTGAAGTACTCACCTGTTGAAGTTGTTACTTTTCAACATTTTGTAAAAAGTTACTTTTTGAGCCTATCCAAGTTAAAGCGTCTTTAAATTTGGATTTCATCAACTGAATTTAATTACTGTTGGATAGCAACACGGGGCTTTGATTTAATTTTTCAATTACGGTATGGCTCTATAAAAAAAAGAATCATTATTTGCAATGGTCATTACACGAAGCTTCTGTAACCTCGTGGAGATGTTCCCATCTAACCTCCAGTATAGTTGCAGGACTCTAATGAAGCCACCACTCTCTGTGTGTCCTAATTCCAAATACAATGTCCTTTTTGTAAGGAGGTAGGTGTATGTTTATCGGCTACTGCAAAGCAAACCAAAATAAAAAACGTTTCCAACGAAACAAATAAGAAGGTGGTTTAAAACGGGTAATGCCCGATAAAAAATAAACAAAAAGCAAAATCTCCGACAACGCTGTTGTTTACGAATGAGATGTGAAGAAAACGCAATCAGCTGGGCAGTTGGAATGGAGGAAAACGTATGATAGTAGCACCATTAACACAAGCGTGTGACAGATGACAGATTTACTTTTTTCTTTGGAGATAAAAAATAAAATAAACCTTAAAATATCATAACGAGGCTAACAGAGATAGGGTAAGTTGAACCAGTTTAACCAAAACAAGGTTAATTGAATGAAAAAGATAAAAAACCGCAAAGACTTAATTGCTTAAAATAGCACATTTAATATTAGCGTCTGACCGGTAAAAGATTTTTTGCTATTATGATTTTCTTTCGAGATAAGACTCATCCAAAAAAGAAAAACATTTAATTTATATACTTTCAAATATTTGAATTAAATAAATCAAAAAGCCAGTTGCAAAATAAATATGCCGAAGATCGATTTAAGCCCTGCACAAAATGAACTCTAATAAATGATAATCATGAATTTTCATAACTGAATATTAGTTGTTTTCTTTATGCGAGTCTTCTTCTTTATTACAACATTTATAAATGTACTACGAGATGATAACATTATACCTTTGAACTATTTTCCTCTTGTTAAGGGAACAAATGCAATTTGCGAATAAAAACAAAGATAATTTATGAAATAACAATAAAGAGAAAGAGAGAGAGAGAGTGCACATGAGACTTGCTCCCGATCTCAACTATATACTCAATTGAATATCAAATTGACGATGATGGATAGTTCGATGGTACTACTCATTGAACGGAACCATGAGGACTAGTGATGAGAACATTCATGGTACAATATGGTAAAATTACAGAAGTACAGCCATGATAAAATGATACAGGTAGGCGCAACAACACAGCTGCTGGTACAACGAACTGTCAAACCAAATTTCGGAATTGCAATTTTTGAATGAAAAAATATTGCAATTTGTAAAAATTTTTTTAAAATGCATGTCATAACAACTTCTGATTGTCGTTATATAAGAAAATCTTTCAAAATCCATTTATTTTTGGAGAAAATTTTTAAAAAATTTGACATATCTCGTGGTAGAAGAATACAGGTAGATGCATGAAGGCTTGGGAACATTGATATGTCAACAATTTTTAAATGTTACTTCAAAAATAAGTAGATTAGATATGTTTTCCTACAAAAACGTTTCCTTAAGTCCAGAACGCGTATGTTTTTTTGTAAAATCTGCCTATTTTAGATATGAAAAAAGATATTATTAAAAAAGTGACATAGTCGGAATCGTCAGAAAAGTATTGCCATATTAAATTTAGCAAATGAGTTTACCTTTTTTGTTTTGTTTATTTGTTTGTTTGTTTATTGTCTAAAAAAATTGAGTACATACACAAATGATCTGTTCCAGAACTGCAAGAATGTAAAAATTTTTACTGCAAGACAAAATTGCCAAACCAGTAGATTCTTGCAGGTTCTGGAACAGAGCAAAAATTGACAGAAACCGGGCACACTTAGAAAAAACAACTTGTAAACAGCTGGTTGCTCTACCTTACCTTTTTATTGTACCATAAGAACATGGAAGAAAATGCTAACTCATCTTTATAATCACTGAAAAAATAACACATTTTTTACATGGAACAATTAAATCGAGGTAACTTCTGCTCTGTTCCTGAGCCTGCAAGTTATGCAATTTCTTTAAAAATCATGAAGGAAAAATCTAAAACCACGAAACATTTTTTCCTATGAATATCTTTTACAAGAGCCAGCGGACTTCAAAGCTCGATTTTTTGAGGACCTGTATATCTAAAATTTTGATTTGAATAGGTTGTACCCATGGTACAATAAAAAGGTATAACAGCTTCATAAAACTACAGAAATACAGCCCTGAGGCTATGCCTGCTTCCTGTCAAAATCATTCAAAATTATGTATGCAGCAAGTTGTTATATTTTTTCATATTTTCCTCATTTTTAAAATGATTTAAATAGCGCGAAAAATTAATGAAGTGCCTGGAGTTTCGCTCAAAAATGTGATGCAAACTGTTCAATCTTTCAATTTTATGGATAAACTGGTAATAGCTTTAATGCGCGAGCCGCAAGCTACATGTCTTCCAACGATTGCTTTTGAAAATATTTTGTTTTCATTTTTTTAAAACAAAAAAATCATACAAAAAAATGGCAGAAGTCGGGTACATTTAGGAAGAAATTGTAATCAGCTGGTAGCTCTACCTTACCTTTTTATTGTACCATGGGTAGGTAGACGCATCGACATAGCTGCTGGGACAATGACAAACCAATATTGGAATGGAAAATGTTGAATAAAAAATTATTTAAATTTGTAAAAATTGTTGAAAGACGCGAATTATAATAGCCTCCGAATGACGTCGAATAAAAAAAAACATATAAAATTCCACTTATATTCAAAAAAAAAAAAAAACATTTAAAATTTTTTGGCATATCAATGTTCCCAAGCGTTGATGCATCTACCTGTATTTTTCTACCATGCTTGGTACAATTACTACAAGGCAGGGTAACCTGATGCTTAAGTCTTGTAACTTCAAATTTACCAATAACAAATGAGACAAACTGTTTTAATTTATTTGATATTTTTCTTGCAATTTTTTATTTAAGAGAAAATTGCGAAAAAAAACGAGTGTGGAACGTGTTTATTGTGTATTTCTATGGTCTACCTTGGAGAATTTATGATGTGGCCATGCCACCTTGCAACTCAGTCTATTTTCTCTATCTCTTTTTATTCACACATCAGTTGTATTTGTTTTTTTTTTCTCTCCATTACCACGATACAATAATACAGGTAGCCTCATCAACACAACAGGTGGTACAAAACATACAGCCAGAACATATTTTCAATAAAAAGTTGTTCAAATTTCCTTAAATTTCTGAATACCAACTCCGAATGATGCGTTTTGATACGAAAGCATTTCAAAATTGAATTATTTTTAAATAATCTTTTCTATAATTCTTCACATATAAATTTTTACAAATAGCGATCCATCTACCTGTATTCTTCTTTCGGCGTTATCGTCTTCTTTCATTCGCTGCATTCCATGGTAGAAGAATATAGGTAGACGCATCGACGCAGCTGCTGGGACAATGAACTGTCAAACCAATTTTGGAATTAAAAATGCTGAATGAAAAATTATTTAAATTTGTAAAAATTGTTGAAAAATACATATCTTTACAACCCACGATTTTTGTCGTATAAGAAAACATATAAAAATCTACTTATATTTGAAAAGAAATTTAAAAATTTTTGACATATCAATGCTCCCAAGCGTTGATGCATCTACCTGTATTTTTCTACCATGCTGCATTCGCAATTCAAAACCGTTGGCCCATATTCGCATATTCACTCGATCTACACTCAATCGCAAGTCAAATTGTCATTGTCATTTTAAATAAAAGAGAAAATCGTAAGGTTAACCATGGCTGCTGAGAATTTCGAACGTGGAACTATTAAAAATGTCGGCAATTGTTACCTTTGGCGCCTTGAAATTCGCGGATTCTCTGCTGAATCCCCCCTAATTAAGACATTCATTGAAGGCATCATTTCTACATGGAAGTTGTATCTAGAAAGGAAAAAGTTCTATGTCAAGCTGATTTCTGCCAATATATCTGATAGCCAGTTTACAGTCAGTATATCAACTAACGATTTTTCTATCAGTTGGGAAATTTCCACGAAAGAAAGTAACAAGTACCATTACCTAGGCGATACGCCATTCTTGCGTGCACTTCCCATGGAAGTGATGTTCGAAATTAGCGTCAAATATAAGGATGAAAAAGTGATTTTTGAGGAAGTTCTGCCGATATCGAAGATCAAGAAAGATCTTGCCAAACTGTTGACCGATGAAAAATTTAGCGATGTTACTCTGGTGGGCCGCGGTGGAATGCAGTTCAGAGCCCACAAGAATATATTAAGTGCCCGCAGTGAGGTCTTTGCTGCCATGTTTGACAACGAATTCCTGGAGAATAAAGCAAATTCGGTTTCCATCGATGACATAGACGGCGAGGTGTTGCAGGAAATGTTAAACTATATCTACACCGAGGAGATTGTATCCAAAGAATTGGCCGCTGACCTCTATGTGGCAGCCGACAAATATGCCCTGGTAGATCTGCAGTCATTGTGTGAAAGCATCTTAACCCAGACAATGGATATATATTCTGTGGCCGATATTCTTTTGCTAGCCGAACGGACGTCCAACGAACGTCTGAAGAGAAATGCTCTTCAGTTTATATTGAAAAATATTGTAGCTGTTATGGAGACAGCAAGTTGGAAACGTCTGCAAGCGTTGGATCACAATCTATGTATAGATGTTTTGAGTAAAACCATTAAAGCTATCTGTAATGATGAGCAAATATCAGATATAGAATGCTTTGAATAAAGTGTGATAAATACAAATTTCTATATGATCAAATTTCTTGCCTTGGCAAGACAAGATTCTGTCAAAACTTAATTTTTTTTTTCTAAAAAATTTGAACAATTTTTCTGAAGTTTTGGTCCTAACCTGAAAATCCATAGGAAATTATTTATTATTTGTTTTGAAATTTTTTCCGAAATATTTTGAAATTTTTGACATTGCATGATAAGCTTTGAAACAAAAATGCAAAATTTTCCTATAAAATGTGAAAATTTTTCCATGAGCTGAAAAGTGGTCCTAACCTCAAAATTTGGTGGCAATATTTTCTTAAAAAAATATTTGGGAATTTTTGCCATTGCAAGACAAAATTCTTTTAAAAATGCAATTTTTTCTATAAAATATTAAGGGAGTTACTATGGGCTGAAAAATGTTTGTTGGAAATGATTTTTAGCATTTTTTTTTTTTGTACATTTCTTGTAATTTTTTTTTTCACTGCAACATAAGGCTCGTCCAAATGTGGAAATATTCCATAAAATGCAAAGATTTTTCCTTGGCCTGAAAAATCGTGGTCCTAACCTCAAAATTTGTTGAAAATGATTTTCACTCATTTTTAATGATTTAAATATTATTTTGTAACGGCTCCATTAATTTCCCAAAAAAAAATATGTTTTAATTTCACAATATTTTCAAGTTAATTGATTGACATGAATTGAATCTTAACCTTAAAATTGTAAAATAAATTTTTTTCAGACTTTTTTTAAATTTCTTGAATTTTTTTTTTTTGCCATGGCAAGATAAGATGCTAAGAATTTTCTTCGGGCGAAAAAGTTGTGATTCTAACCTCAAAAAATGATTCAGATCTTTTTTGTCTTTTCATTAAGTTTTTTTGCCCCGTAAAGATAAGATTCAGCAAAATATTTAAGAATATTCGAAGAAATTAAATGTTTTATGGTCTAAATTTCAAAATCAGCTCAGATTACTCTTTTTTTGATACCCTCCATGGAGGGTATATTACGCTTGTAACTCCTCGAAATATACATTTTAGACCCCACAAAGTAAATATATTCTTGATCAGCATAAAATCCTATGTCGATTTAGTGATGTCCGTCCGTCTGTCCTTCAGTGGAAATCACTTTAGCTTCCGAACGAAATGAAGTAGATTGATAAAATTGCACAATTGCACTTGTATGTCTGCAGGACTTTTGGTATTGAAAATGGGCCATGTAGGTCCACATTTTGGTATAGCCCCCATATAATAGTACCTCCCGATATTCGGTATTTTGATGATTTTAGCGACTCTATTCTTCGGAATTGTTTCAAATTTGGTATTTGAAGTTCGTAATGGATACTACAGCCTATGACAGAAAAGTGTCTGTGCAGGTCCACGTCTTTGTATAGCCCCCATATAATAGTACCTCCCGATATTCGGTATTTTGATGATTTTAGCGACTCTATTCTTCGGAATTGTTTCAAATTTGGTATTTGAAGTTCGTAATGGATACTACAGCCTATGACAGAAAAGTGTCTGTGTAGGTCCACATTTTGGTATAGCACTCATATAACGGTACGTACCGATATTCGGTATTTTGCTGATTTTAGCGATATTATTCACTGGAATTGTTTCAAATTTGGTATTTGAAGTTCGTAAGGGATAATACAGTCTATGGCAGAAAAGTGTCTGTGCAGGTCCACATTTTGGTATAGCCCTCATATAATAGTACCTCCTTAGATTGATGATATTAGCTACATTATTCACCGATTTTTTTCAAGTTTCGCATTTGAATATTGTAATGTCTTATGCCTATGCAGGTCCACGTCGTCGTTTAGACCCTAATATGACGGCTAAAATTGGTATTTTTAAGATCTTAACAGAATTTTTAACGGATTTTATTTTTTTTTTTTGAAAATTGTCAAATTCATTCCAAATGGTGGAGGGTATTTAAAGTTCGGCCCGGATAGTTTTTTTACTTTTTTTTTTTTTTTTTGTTTCATAAATATTTTAGTCTTAAGGATACTAGGGAATATCATTTTATTTAAATAAGAAATGAAAATAATTTAAAACAATAGCTTTATACAAATTCTTTGTTTATAAATTGCAATTAAATTAAGCCTACTTTTATGTATGCCAATTGTAATGGTAGATGTTCAAAAACAAAAGAATCGAAATGTTTCTGCATGTGTTTTTTTTGTTTTTACATTTATGTTTTAAGCAGTTAAGCCATAACGTTACATACATATATCTAATATCATGTGGGAGGAGGATGGTGTTGAGGAGTGTCATTACAAAAAAAATAAAATATATATATATATATATATATATATATATATATATATATATATATATATATATATATATATATATATATATATATATATATATTCCACCTTAAGATAAATTGAAATTTTGTGTAAAATCATATTCAATTGTTGGTATAACAGTTTGTACAAATTTTAAGAAAATTATCAAATATAAATGCACACCCAATTCGCCGCCGCCCTCTTCAACGGTCTGTATGATTTTCTTCATTATATCGGCATGGCGACATGGATGCACCGAGGCCATATTCGGTCCCGGCAAATGGGGATGTGATTCCATGGTGACAGTCTTTTTGGCATGATCTTGTGAGACATCTTCGTACATTTGTTCAACGGTCAGGGGTTTGCGATTCTAAAGAGAGAGAGAGAGAGAGAGAGAGAGTAAAATACCTTATTTTAATTCTAGTATTAAAATTTTTGAAAAATATTGGGATTACCTCATCGTAGCCCACCACCCAGAGACGTGGTGTTTGATAATATTTATCATAGGTTATGTGCAGATCATAGGTACGGGTGTGCAGCACCGAGTCTTGGGTATCATACGAGGCAGCCCCGCCCTCAGTGTTTGTGCTTTCGGGCTTTTCCGTCTTGCGTACGGTGGCCACCGCAGGATCGACTAAATCCAACATACCGCTTTCCTCGAATTCGTCCATATCTAAAGCTTCTTCGTCATCCTCCTCATCATTAGCCCCAACAACATCGTCCATATTTCCAGGTTGTTCATTGTCCGGAGTGTGCATTTCGTCCTAAAATAAGATAAATATAAACTTCAAATTACATTTATAACAAATAAAAAAGCGGTAAGCGATCTTTGAATACCCTCCCCACCATTTGGAACGATTTTGGCAATTTTCAAAAACAATGAAATCCGTTAAAAATTCTTTTAAAATCTTAATAATACCGAATGTAGCCGTTATATTAGGGTCTATACGACTTTTTGGGCCTGTATCATAATCCACTTACAATATTCAAAATTCAAAACCATTACAATATTCAAATGCGAAACTTGAATAAAAAAATTCGGTGAATAATGTAGCTAAAATCATCAAAATATCGAATATCGGGGGTTACCGTTATATTGGGGCTATACGAAGACGTGGACCTGCACAGACAATTTTCTGTCATAGGCTGCAGTATCCATTACGAAGTTTAAAAACCAAATTTGCAACAATTCCGGTGAATAATGTCGCTAAAATCATCAAAATACCGAATATCGGGAGGTATCGTTATATGGGGGCTATACGAAGACGTGGACCAATTTTCTGTCGTAGGCTGTGGTACCCATTACGAACTTCAAATTCCAAATTTGCAAAAATTCCGGTGAATAATGTAGCTAAAATCATCAAAATATCGAATATCGGGGGTTACCGTTATATTGGGGCTATACGAAGACGTGGACCTGCACAGACAATTTTCTGTCATAGGCTGCAGTATCCATTACGAACTTTAAATACCAAATTTGCAACAATTCCGGTGAATAATGTCGCTAAAATCATCAAAATACCGAATATCGGGAGGTACCGTTATACGGGGGCTATACGAAGACGTGGACCAATTTTCTGTCGTAGGCTGTGGTACCCATTACGAACTTCAAATTCAAAATTTGCAACAATTCCGGTGAATAATGTCGCTAAAATCATCAAAATACCGAATATCGGGAGGTACCGTTATATGGCGGCTATACGAAGACGTGGACCTGCACAGACAATTTTCTGTCATAGGCTGTAATACCCATTACGAACTTCAAATACCAAATTTGCAATAATTCCGGTGAATAATGTCGCTAAAATCATCAAAATACCGAATATCGGGAGGTACCGTTATATGGGGGCTATACGAAGACGTGGACCAATTTTCTGTCGTAGGCTGTGGTACCCATTACAAACTTCAAATTCCAAATTAGCAACAATTCCGGTGAATAATGACGCATAAATCACCAAAATACCGAAAAAAGAGTGTACCATTATATGGGGGCTATACCAAAACGTGGACCTGCAATACCCATTTTCAATACCAAAAGTCCTGCAGACATAATACACATTTGAGTAAAATTTTATCAACCTACTTCATTTCGTTCGGAAGCTAGAGTGATTTCCACAGACAGACGGATAGACGGACGGACATCGCTAAATCGATATAGAATTTTATGCTGATCAAGGATATATATATACTTTGTGGGGTCTAAAATTTATATTTCGAGGTGTTACAAACCGTATGACAAACATACTGTTTGTATACCCTCCACCATACTATGGTGGAGGGTATAAAAATGATGGGCAAAAAACTTTGTAATTTCCCAAGCAATTTCCGTACATTGAAGATATTTCCCACAAAGGGGAAATATTGGGGATAAGAAAAGTTAGATTTATGGGAATGAACATAACTTGTTCTCCGATCCTCAAACCTAAAAACTTTGTCAGAAATGAGGAATGTTATTTGAGCGCCCATAGTATAGCTGATTTGGGAATTGAACAAACGGGCACAAGCGCAGGGTGTGATCCTGGGGACACAAAAGAGGTTACAGTTCACACGATTTTTGTACTTTTTGTATGCAAAATTTGTTTTTTTTTTTTTTTTTGTTACCAGATCCACCCATCGAAATGCTCTCGAAAGGCGTTCCCGTGTCCGTTCCTGAGAACCCGATAATAACAATACTTCTTTAAGCCACTTTTGAATCGCATTCCCTTTGCCCTAAAAACATTTTTGTTTTGGTTTCGAAATCTTTACCCGATCATCCAGAGTCAGTTCACAAATTTTATCGTCCAATTCCGCTTTGGTGCCATCCTCATTCATTTGATGCGTTTCCACCCAGCCACCATCGCCACACTCCTCTTCCACAACCGTTTCTTCGCCCACATATTCCATTTGCTTGCAACGGCGGTAGCAAGGTACATTGCGTGTAATCAAGAATTGTTTATCTAACAACAACAACAACAAAGGAATTTAATTTACTTCCATAACTTTAATTATTTACACAAGTTCTACAAACCTTTGGGTAAATAGGATTTTGTCTTGTTTTCATCGCCAGCTGCCCATTGCCAGGTTGGACAGTGATGGACCAAGTGATCGCCGGCTGCCACAAATTCTTCCGGTGTCAATACTCCAGTTTCACGGAATTTGGATTCCTATGACAGAAAGAAAATGTTTATTATAACATGACTCATCGCCATCCAGTCTAGTTCCACATTGTCTATATAGTAATAGATGGGGTGCAAGAACAATAAAGACTGGGCATAATCAGTCAGTAACCCCCACCCACTCTTTCTGTCGTTTTGTGATGCATTCTTCATCGTTTTTTTTTTGTGTTACCTTTAGAACTGGTGTCAAATATTCAGCGACATTTAGGGCAGTTCCTTTAACGGTATTTAAAACACTTTGCATGTCTTGGATTGTCTTTAAGGTAGGATTGGGAAATGATTTTAATGTTCTTTGTTTAATTTTCTTTTTTAAATTTCTTTTCTAATTTCGCCTAATCTCTCAACACTTCTAACACTTTCTTTTGCTTTCTTTTTAGGGTAAGCTAAGTCGACTTTGTAATGTCGATTAATCGATAAGTCATTAAACGTTAGGTATCAAATCAGAACTAAAGATCCCTAGACATTATTTTAGTAACGCATGCCATGTTCACATTAGCATTTGAAGTTCTCATTGACCATAAAAGCTAGATGCAGGCACTTTGTCGATTTTATGAATTTTATTGTGAATTCTATTGTATTAAAGTGAAAGACCGTAACATGTTTCGATTTGTTTTCGAGAAATGTGCAAAAGGAATATATGGGAAGAGAAACGGGTGGCTCGTTGGCAACGCACAAATGAATGAGAATGGCGCCAAAGCTGAAGTAGAAGAGTGAATTGACATTGGACGATCGGGTAAGGTTTTTAAAATCAAAACCATAGAGATTGTACGGGAGTAGGAGAAAATAATGTGTCCTAAAGAATCCTATTTGTGGAAAAAATATTAATATTGGCCAACCAATACCTCGCGGGTTTCTTCCAATATAAGAATTTCGTTTAAAAAATTAAAAATAAACGCTATTGTTCTGTTCCAGAACTGCGAGAATCCAAAAGTTTTTACTAGGATAACCAATTTTCCCTTTATGGTATCGAAGAAAATTGCAAAATTAGTAGATTCTTGCAGGTTCTGGAACATTCCATATATAACTCCAGCACAGAGTTGCATTATTCTAGTTCTCTTGAAGATGACCAACCCTATATTCGGTATTTTGATGATTGTAGCCACATTATATTCGGTATTTTGCGGATTTTAGCTACATTATCCGCCGGAATTTTTTCAAGTTTCGTATTTAAATATTCGTATAAAAATTTTCACCAAATTTGACGTACTTGCTTTTAGACTGTGTTCGGTCGGATGTACCAAAATTCAGGTCATTTGGACTGATATTGGCCATTTGGTGCACAATTAACCCGAAATCGGTTGAAGATATACATTGTAGCTATATCCAAATCTAAACCGATCCTGATACAATTCGGCAGAGGTATTTCTGGGCTGTATCATATATCTGGTACCACATATCATTCTTGTGGAGTGCATATTGCGAATGTGAAGGACATAAGACCCTAAATCGGATGAAATGTATATATATGGGAGCTATAGCTATATCTGAACCGATTTTCACCAAATTTGGTGTACTTGCTTCTCGACTGAATTCAGACGGTTGAGCCAAAATTCAGATTATTTGGACTGATACAATTAATCCGAAATCGGTTGAAGATATACAGGATGAGATGAAAAAACTGCAACCAACTTCAGACTGCTGTCATTTCTAAGCCACTTGTCCGACAACTGTTAAAATTATTCCAGTGAGAGCTCATTATATTGTTTACAAGCGTGCAAAGGCATTTTGGTGAGAATTTTCCAGAAAGAAAGTTATTCGTGATGGAATTCAAGCGTAATAATGTGCAACATCAGCAGAAATGATGGTTTGAAAAGTAAAGAAGCGACTTGTCCCTGCTTCCGCCAATTTTGAGTAGGTATTTATGGTTATAAAATATAAAAACAGAATATTTTCAAAATCCATGATTGGACGAGGCGTACATTGCAAGATGCGCATTAAAGCTATTCGCCAGGTTTGCCATGAAGTTGAAAGATAGAACTGTTTAGATGATATTTTTTGTAAAAAAATCCAGGCATTTTTTCCGCTGTTTAATTGATTTTAAAAATGAGAAAAAATATTGAATGAATGGTAACGACATGTTGCATGCAAATTTGACAGGAAACGGGCGAGCATAGCCCCGGAGCTGCATTTCTGTAGTTTTACGTAGCTATTCTACCTCCTTTTTGTACCATGGATGTTACATATCCTTTAAATGTTCCCATATAGTCTAGTGGCTAAGATAAAATGTTAGATATTTTCTGTTCCTCTTGGGTGTTTAGATATTTCCGGGTTTTTGAAAAAAAAATATCCTTCAATATTCCCATATAGTCTAGTGACCAGGATAAAATGTTCCATGTTTTTCTTTAGCTACATAAAACCCAAATTTGAGGTTAATAAAATGAAAAAAAAAAGAGAAAATCCAGGCATTTCATTCATTTTTCCCGCTGTTTAACCGAATTTTAAAAAGGAGAAAAAATATTGAATAAATGGAAACAATTTGTTGCATGCAAATTTGTTCTGTTCTCGTTGTTCTACCTCCTGATTGTACCATGGATGTTAAATATTCTTTAATTTTCCCATATAGACTAGTGGCTAAAATAAAATGTTAGATATTTTCTGTTTCTCTTGAGTGCTTAGTCATTTCCGATATTTGAAAAAAAAATGCTCTTCAATATTCCCATATGGTCTAGTGACCAGGATAAATTGTTCCATGTTTTTCTTAAGCTAGCTTGCAACCACATCTGTGCCAGTTATGATTTTCAAACATAAAACCCAAATATGAGGTTAATAAAAGAAAAAAAAAAATCCAGGCATTTCATTCATTTTTCCCGCTGTTTAACCGATTTTAAAATGAGAAAAAATATTGAATAAATGGAAACAATTTGTTGCATGCAAATTTGATAGGAAGCGGGCGGGCATAGCCCCAAAGCTGTATTTCTGTAGTTTTACAAAGCTATTCTACCTCCTTATTGTACCATGGATGTTACGTATCCTTTCATTTTCCCATATAGTCTAGTGGCTAAGATAAAATGTAAGATATTTTCTGTTTCTCTTGAGTGGTTAGATATTTCCGGTATTTGAAAAAAAATATCCTTCAATATTCCCATATAGTCTAGTGACCAGAATAAAATGTTCCATATTCTTTTTTTAAGCTAGCTTGCAACCACATCTGCGCCAGTTATGATTTCAGGCGCAAAACCCAAATTTGAGGTTAATAAAATGAAAAACAAAGAGAAAATCCAGGCATTTCATTCATTTTTCCCGCAGTTTAACCGATTTTAAAAATTAGAACAAATATTGAATAAATGGAAACAATTTGTTGCATGCAAATTTGACAGGAAGTGGGCGGGCATAGCCCCAGAGCTGTATTTCTGTAGTTTTAAAAAGCTATTCTACCTCCTTATTGTACCATGGATGTTACGTATCCTTTAACTTTCCCATATAGTCTAGTGGCTAAGATAAAATGTTTGATATTTTCTGTTTCTCGTGAGAGTTTAGATATTTCCGGTATTTGAAAAAAAAATATTCTTCAATATTCCCATATGGTCTAGTGACTAGGATAAAATGTTCCATGTTCTTTTTTTAAGCTAGCTTGCAACCACATCTGTGCCAGTTATGATTTTCAAACATAAAACCCAAATTCGAGGTTAATTAAATAAAAAAAAATTGGTTAGTAGATTTAATATCCTTTGCATGGACACGTTTGTTGTTGACTTTCCATGCCGTAGTATTTCCCCCATTGCTATGATGACAGTCTGCATCAATTGTGGTCCAAGACCAACATTTATTTAGTCATGTGATGGTGTTGTTGATTGGAATTTATTTCGAAAATATTTTCCCAAAAAAAAAATGTTTACAAATTTTGTCCACAAGTGCTCTGTTCCAGAAACTTCAATACATTTGCAATTTTTATTCGATATCATAAAGGGAAAATCGAAAAAAACTTGTAGTTCCGGAATAAAGCAAAAATATTTCCATAAATATTTTCCAATTTATTTCATTTCCCTTGTTTTCATTGAATTTTTTGAGCCAGTGCCACAGATTCCCTTGTTCTTTATGTGATCAATCTCCAAATACGACTGCTGCTGTTGCAATTTGCAAATGAATGCCAGGCTGGCGAATGCCGTACCCATTGTATGATTATTTTCATACCTTTGAAATTAGATTTCTTTGCATAAAATAACCTCTCACACTCTCAGTCTCCTCCTCTCCTCTCCACACCAACTAATAATGATTTTACTAACGGTACATCTCTCATCTACCCAATGTGAAGATGAAAACATAAACTCAATGGAAAACCGCAATAAGAATAAATTTTATGACAACTCTTCTCCAAATTGCAATTTGCTACGGCTCTCCCTCCAAAAAAAAAATCAAAAGACAAAACAAAAAACGCCTCTCCCAGGGAAAGGAGAACAACAAAATAACCAAACTAGAAGAGATTGTTACAGAAAATCATAACAGAGAGGAGGACCAATGCCGCCAACGCCATCCGCCTCAGGGGGAAACCAATTGTAAAAGGTAAACAAAATTGTAATTTTGATTTGACAATTTTTAGAGAGTTTAAAAACCATTTTCTGGAATATCAGAATATCTCTATCCGGTTTCTCTTCTCCATCCCACAATAAATTCTGCTAAGCAATAGTTTTTGTTATTGCAACCCAAACAACGTGGCTCATCCAGCACTTGGGTTCTTCTTCTTCTTCTTAAATCCAAACTCAGTTCAGTTTAATTTCCTTTTTCAACCAACAACCAACAAAACCATTCATTTCCCTCATCATCATCTCTGCCACTCTTCTCTTTTGAAACACGAGGCCAGCGTTTACTTAAATTAATGCTCACGAAACACACAGCCAGAAAAAATACGAACTCACAAATTCATACAATGAATGACTGTACCTCATTTTCTGGGATATGGCTGGGGCTGGCTGACTGGCTTGTGCTTGTTTTGCTGAGTTGTGTGACGACTGCAATAACAAAAATGAAGGCAATGGTCGGCGGGTGTGTGTGTGTGTGTTTGTGTGAGAGTTATGTGTGCGAGAAGAGCGTCAGCCATCTTGCTCCCATTTGAAATAATAGCAAACAACAACAAAAACACCACCATTTACTGAGTCGCGCACACCACCACAAAAGAAAACTAACAATGATGTTAACTTTTTATGGCGAAAAAATCGCTAAAATGCAAAAAATCACCAAAATAATAAAAAAAAAACGCCAAATTGGTTTTTTAGGAGAGAAAATGTTAATTGATCTTATGGTACAATAAAATAAAGGTAACCTCATTTTAAAGTAGCATTCCCAGCTCTGTATTTTCTGTAATCGTTACCTCATCAAATTTCAATGCATAAAAAAGTAAAAAAGCTTTAAGGCCGGCCAGTCCGAACTTTGAATACCCTCCACCATTTGTGGATTTACCCTCCACCACGAATTTAACAATTTTCAAAAAAAAAATGGGATTTTAAAATTCTGTTAAAATCATGTAGCCGTATATTAGAGTCCATATGGCGACGTGGACCTGCATAGGCAACTTTTGTCACAAGGCAATATTCAAATGCGAAACTTGAAAAAATCTGTTTATAATGTACCTAAAATCGTCAAAATACCGAATATAGGGAGGTACCATGGTGGTTATAAAACGTGAATCTGCACAGAAAATTTTTTGTCATAGGCTGTTATATCGAACTTCACGAACTTCAAATGCGAAATTTGAAACAATTCCGATAAATAAGGTCGCTAAAATCATCAAAATATCGAATATCGGGGTGTACCGTTACATGGGTGCTATACGAAGAAGTGGACCTGCACAGACAATTTTCTGTCATAGGATGTAGTATTCATTACGAACTTCAAATGCGAAATTTGAAACAATTCCGGTAAATAGGTTCGCTAAAATCATGAAAATACCGAAAATCGGGGGGTACCGTTATATGGGGGCTATACGAAAACGTAGACCTACATGGCTTATTTTCTGTCTTAGGATGTAGTATCCATTACGAGCTTCAAATGCCAAAATTGAAGCAATTCCGGTAAATAATGTGGCTAAAATGATCAAAATACCGAATATCGGGGGGTACCGTTACATGGGGGCTATACGAAGACGTGGACCTACATTGCCCATTTTCTGTTTTATGCTGTAGTATCTATTAAAAACTGTAAATACAAAATTTGAAACAATTCCGGTAAATAATGTAGCTAAAATCATGAAAATACCGAATATCGGGAGGTACAGTTATATGGGGGCTATCCGAAGACGTGGATCTATATGGCCCATTTTCAATACCAAAAGTCCTGCAGACATAGTACACATTTGAGTAAAATTGTATCAACCTACTTCATTTCGTTCGGAAGCTAGAGTGATTTCCACAGACGGACAGACGGACAGACGGACGGACATTGATAAATCGAAATAGAATTTTATGCTGATCAAGAATATATATACTTTGTGGGGTCTAAAATGTATATTTCGAGGTGTTACAAACGGAATGACAAACTTGATATACCCTCCATACTATGGTGGAGGGTATAAAAAGAGTTCCCATCTCTGATTTTGTGTGTATACAATGAAGTTATGAATATAGATTTTGACAATGAGATGCTGTCAAATGTATACATTGAAAAAAAATTGTAAACATATGATGGCATGACTTTACCTTCTTAGTTCTACCATGTATTGATCTGTTCCAGAACTGCAAGGATATACATTTTTTTACATCGATAATCGATTTTTCCATTGAGATATCGAAAAATTTATATACAAGTTGAGATGAAAAAATTGCAGCCAATTTCAGACTGCTGTCATTTCTAAGCCACTCGTCCGACAGCTGTTGAAATTATTGCAGCGATAGCTCATTATATTGTTTACAAGTGTACAAAAGCATTTTGGTGAGAAATTTCCAGAAAAAAAGTTATTCGTAATGGAATTTAAGCGTGATAGTGTGATTTCTTTATATTTGCCTGGAAAACCACAAGGGACGATCGTTAGAGCACTCCAGCATTTAAATTTGAATAAATCTTTTGTGTCTCGTTACCATGATACTGGTAGCGTAGCCCGACGACGTCCAGGAAGTGGACGGAAGAAAACAGCAACATCAGCAGAAATGGTTCGAAATGTAAAAAAAGCGACTTGATCGAAACCCGCGTAGCAGTGGCCGAAAAATGGTTCGTGAGCTGAAAATATCACAAAATTCGGTAAATTCGGCAAACTTTGAAAAATGAGCTCCTCGGGGTAAAGCCATTGAAATTGCAAAAAGTGCCAGAACTTACACCGCAACAGAAAGAAAATAGACTCAAAAGACCTAAAGAGTTACTTCGCTTGGCCGAAAGTGGTGAACTGCTGAATTTGGTTTGGTGGTCTCCGATGAGTAAGCATTCGTTGTCCGGCAGTTTGTAAACAAACAAAATTATCGTGTTTACTTGCCAAAGAGGTCAACAGAAAAAGTACACCTTCGGTTGGCCACCAGAACTCAAGCGCCGGCCATGGTGATGGTGTGGGTCGCCATAACAGCCGATGGTCGCTCTCCGCTTGTATTAATCGACCGTGGCATCAGAATAAATGCCGAATATTATCGCGATAATATTCTGGAGGGTGTAAAGCCTTGAACATGCAAACATTTTGGCCGCAGACCTTGGACATTCGAACAGGACTCAGCACGCGCCACCCAAGAATGTTTAAAAAATAAGGTTCCTCCTCGCTTCATTTCCAGCGCACAATGGCCACCAAAATCTCCGGATACCAATCCCCATTGGACTATTGTGTCGATCACCTCAAGCAAGCGCTTTGTCGGGAATGGGCCAAATTACCGCAGAGAAACATTCGGGCACAGCTGTGACGGTTTCATTTTCCGCTTGAAGGCCATAATTCCTGCCAAAGATGACCAATTCGAACAAATCTAAACTTATTCTAAAATTTGATGCTACTTCCGACATTTTCTGCTTTCATTCAATAAAATTAAAAAAAAGAAATGTAAAATTTATGGCGTTTGACTTTGTTGTAGTTTTTTTTTATCTCACCCTGTATAGCCCAATACAACCCTATCGCCCGATATTCGGTATTTTGATGATTTTAGCTACATTTTTCAATGGAATTGTCTAAAACTCTATACTGGAAGTTCTTTCCAAGCATTTTACTCCATGACAGAGAAATGTCTATATAGGTTGACGATATCGTATAGCCCCCATACAACGGCACCTCCCGATATTCGGTATTTTGATGATTTTAGCGACATTATTCACAGGAGTTGTTTCAGATTACGTACCTAGAATTTGCAATGTGAACTACAGTCTATGACAGAAAATTATCTATGTAGGTCCACGTCTTCGTGTAGCCCCGATATAACCGTACCTCCCAATATTAGGTATTTTGATGATTTTAGCGACATTTTCCACCAGAGTTCTTTCAAATTTCATATTTAGAGTTCGTAATGGGAACTACAGTCTATGACAGAAAATTGTCTATGCAGGTCCAAGTCTTCGAATAGGTCCCATGCATCAGTGTCTCCCTATATTCGCTGTTTTGATGATTTTAGTGACATTATTCACCAGAATTGTTTCAAATTCGGTATTTTAAGTTCGAAATGGATACTACAACCTAAGACAGAAAATTTTCCGTGCACGTGTACGCCTTCGTATAGCGCCCATATAACGGCACTTCCCGATATTCGGTATTTTAATGATTTTAGCAGCATTACTCTCCATTTATTTTCAAGTTTCGCATGACAAAATTGCCTATGCAGGTCCACGTCGTCGTATAGAATGAAATAAAACGGTTACATTCGTTATTTTTTTTTTTAAGATTTTTGAAGAATTTTTAAAGGATTTTATTTTTTTGAAAACCGCCAAATTCGTTTCAAAAAGTGGAGGGCATTCAAATTTCGTCCCGGCCTTTTATACTTGTTTTCCATTATTTTTTTTACTTCTGGGTAGCCTCAATTCAAATAAAGACATCCAGCTCGAAGGTATCATTTTAGAAAACTGTTAAACTTGATATCCCCTCTTTTTTAATAAACTCTAATAATATAATTTTATCCGTTGCATTCTATCTGAAGGAAAAGCTTTTTTCCAACTCAGGACAACTACTGGCATTTTAAAATTTTTTTCCCCTGAAAAAGTTTTTTTTCGGTTAATAGCTGTTGTCATGTTCTAGTGAGCGAAAAAAAATCTCTTAAACTCGACTTTTCCTATTTTTGGTGATTTTTCAAATTTCAGCGTTTTATTCACAGCGCAGTGTTGTCATCATTTAATACGTGTTATCTTATGGGAAAGGCAGCCACATAACACAGCATTCACAGGCACTCACACACACACACATACATCCTATAAATAAAACAAATTTATACAAGAGACGCACGAAGAGACTCCCCTGTGCATTGTTTTTGTATAATGCTCTGTAGTTGTTTTGCTGTTTTCCCCTTTGCGTACACGTCTCTCTTCTACACGTGTGATGTGCTCTGCTCCGACCACTCTATGTGTCTCTGTGTGTGTGTGTGTGAGTGTGTATTTGCTTGCGTGCATGCCTATCTGCCTTGTAGTATATCGCATGACTTTTCAGGGATTTTTTGAAAAACTCAATTTTTAGTAGAACATTTTCATCGTTGGCGAGAAGTTGTGAGCGCAAAATTTCAAACAAATAACATTTTGCTCCCAGAGTGAGATACAAATTTTGTGCCTCTGATGGTAATCATCGTCATCATTATCATCATCCACCTCCTCTTCAGCAACATCAAAAGAAGAATTTCAGAGTACAGAGTAGTGTAGTGGCTATGTGCATGTGTTGTGTGTGCGTTTTTTTTTTCTGAAAAAGATAGATTGTCCGCTTTACGCTCATGAGAATAAAAATTTTGAACTGATTCTTGGGTTCTGTGTGCTCTGAGGTGCCTAAAAAATCTGATTATCAAAAAAGCGGGAAAAATCTCTAAAAACAATAAATAGAAGTAAAGAGAGAAGAAGGGTCGTAGTACCTGATGGCTTCCAGTTGGAAGAAAAACAAAAAAAGTTGCAGTGTTAACATGAAATAATACAAATTATGTGAACTGTACAAAGCCGCCCAGTTACGGTGTTATAAAATATTTAATAAAAAGTCCAAGAGTTCCACTCAACAAAATTCCCTGTAATTTTTTCCAAGAATTGAAAAACCAAAGTCCCCCATATTGTTAAATTTATTCAGTATAAAGAAACAACAGCGCGCCTTTACCAGTTTTTTTTGATGTCAATACGTTTGTGTTTTTTTTTCTTTCACGGCAGTGCGCAATGCTTCTAGAAACTTGAACAATTTTGTTTTTTTTTTTTCTTGATTGTATTTTGGCCACAAGTGTAAATATGCATGGTTGCCTGGTGTCGAGCTCCCCAACTCCCCCCAACAAACACACACACACACACCAGAGCATAGCACACAACACAATACTCTGAAATGGTAATGTTCTCCCTCTCTCTCTGTCACTCTCTTGCTCTTTCCCATTGCATGGTTGAGAGTATATATAAAAAAGTGCTTGTGTGGGCCCCCACCATATTTAGACAGTGAGTGAGCGAGCGAGAGAGAGAGAACGTTATTGCTGTCAATGGCATTTCCCCTCATTTTTGTGTGCTTCTTCTTGCTATCAAAAAAAGAAAAGAAAAAATATTAATGATTATTTACAGTTTCAGTATCAGAAAAAATCGTAGACATTTATGTTGGTCTCGTTGCGGGACGGCTCGCAAAGTTGAATAGAAACTAAAAATATCTAAAAAAAAGAAAAATGTTTTCTTAAAAGAAAATTGTCAGTGAAAACAAAAACAACATAAAAGACAAAAGGAAAAAACAAAGTTTTATCATAAAGTGATTGCAGAAACAAAACAAAGATAAAAAGGACTTTTTTTTTCGTGAAAACCGGTGCATGGTCTTTCCCACATCAGCAAAAGGCGGCCACAAGCACCACCACAACGCCCCGTGGCAAAAACCAAACTTGAAAGACAATCATCCGCGCTAAACAAACCAGTGCATAATTTTGTGTATTTCGGGTAATTTAAATTCACCGCCACCATTACCCACTATTACCACCCAATTCAGCAACAGCAACAGCCCTTGGAGGACGTTTGTGCTGTTGGTGAATCGGTGGACTCCATGATGGCTTTGCCCATGAATTCTCTATATTCCCTGACATGGGGTGACTATGGCACCTCATTAGTATCGGCCATCCAGCTGTTGCGTTGTCACGGCGATTTGGTCGATTGTACGCTGGCAGCGGGTGGACGCAGCTTTCCGGCCCATAAAATTGTTTTATGTGCTGCATCACCGTTTCTGCTGGATTTGTTAAAGGTAAGTGGCAACAAATGCGTTATTTGTTTAAGGTTTATAAGAATACTTGTTATTTTGTTATTATTTTAGAATTGGCTAAGAATTTTCCACAGTGAAATATGAGGGTAAAGGGTTGTCCGAACAAGTGTAATGTCCAGATTATAAAGTTTGATGAATATAAACAACACATTTTAGGAATTAAAGGAATTCCGTCCTTCAGCTTTGAAGTTTTATAACCTTAAAAGTGGTCTCTTACAGGTCATTTTCCAATATAGAATATATTCTGCCATTTGAGGATAGGAGACCTGCCAAAGGGTAAATAGCTGATTCTATAGCTTTTATGGTTGAACTTGAAAGCGTATAAATAACCAATATCAGTATATCTTCAATTGGTTAAAGCTCTTTTAAATTAATTCCATAATTGCACAATCCCTAGTAGTATCTATGCGGTTAATCTAAACACCAGGGATTATACACATGGATTTTCTTCATGAGAGATTCCTGGTGAATTTGAATAAGTGGTAGAAGGTCTGCAAGTCGTTCATGTATAGAACATCTCTTCACGATCTGTCATAGGTAGAAAGCTACAAGAAGGTCTACATTGGAGCACCTTCCTAAGTTCTGTTCTTGAAGGGCTCTTGTTGAAATGTAGAATGACTTTTGCATGTCACTCTGTACTGAACATCTCTCCACGATCTGTCTTAGCTAGACGGTCACAAGAATGTCTACCTTAGAAGTCCTTCCGAAATTCCGAGCACACATAGAAAAGGTGGTGTAGAAAGAAGGTTTTGAATCATTTTTCCTATACTAGTTTTGAAATGTCTTCTATATATAGAGTCCATGGATCTTGCAGAGCATTCTAGTTGTGGTCTGAGAGTAATAGGTTCTCTTCAGACCAACTCTCGGGATGGCCTGAAAATTAAACGGTCTGTAACAATTCTCTAAAGACTAGCTGAAATAAATATGTTTTCTAATCTGACTTACATGTAATGACATTGATTCGACTACTAACCTAACACCTGCAGAAATTATTTCTAGTGTTCAATATTTATGCCTATCATGGTTTGCTTCTTCAGGTTTTTTGGAGTATTCCTTTTAAATTCTTGCAGAACCGTAGCTTTACATCTTGTCTTTTGGTATTCTAAAAACATATTCCGATTATTTTGGAGTTACACAACGACCTCCAAAGGCTTTCCTCTAAAAAAAAATTAAAGAGATTTGTTTACATCTTGGCTAACATGATATTTAAAAACGAATTACCATTTAAAATAGTTCCGCCCCAACTAACTAACCAGGTTCTGCTACTTCGATACAAGGCCTACATAAGGTCGGCCAAGTAGACTATACTGTTAACAACAATTTGACACTACTGTGTGATTCGACTCTCTTTGAATTTCAAACTTAGGTGTAGGTGGGCTTTACTGGTCGACCTCATATAGGTAATTTTTCGAGTAAATTTAATTAGAGGACATTGATTCCAATACCTATTCTGTTTCAGAACTTTGCCTTCATGCCCGTTTTTACACATTTCCATATTTTCCGAATGTCGAACACGACGACGATCTGCCTTAAATATCTTACATTAAATTTATAACAAAAATATTAAATTTGTTGGACTTCTAAAAGCTTCCCCAATTTAGAAACTTGATCACTCATATTTGAAATAGTTGCCTTGGGGTTCTCAGCAGTGTCCTGCTAAAAGATATCATCCAATAAAAATTGATTAAAAAGTTCTTAATTCATGTATTTTCAAATTACTTACACCATTATGGATCGTGAGCTTGGATCATTTGGGACGATTGGTTTTTTCTATGAAAAATAAACTCTAAATGACAGAATGGAGGAGGCCTATATTTTGTACGTACGTGGAAGGGTATCTTCACTTGAAAATTACAACAGACTTCACCTGGAATTGAACATCAATACATTATTTCCAGGACTTTACCTTCCATCTCTACTTACCGCCTTGGGCAACGTTTCCCATAGTCTTATTTATGGTTTCCCATAAATCTTGGATTTAAATGTTTTTCAATCACCCATTTTGGCTCGAATCAGATGCCGCATACTCGGCCCTTCTGAAATTGGGTATTTGACCTAGAACTTCATCTAGAACATAACGTCAATACATTATTCCCAGGACTTTACATTGCACCACTTACCTCCTTGGGCAACGTTTCCAATAGTCTTATTCATGTCACGGAAATACCTGCAACTTTTATGCCTCATAGTTGGTTTTCCTTAAGTCTTGGATTTAAATGTTTTTCAATCACCCATATTGGTCTCCATTCAGCTGCCACATACTCGGCCCGTATGAAATTGGGTAGTTGAGTCCGTTTTCCCATCATTTATTTATCAAAAATTTCATTTTCATTAAAGTTTTTCTCTTGCATTGATTCTAATTAGACTTGTGCCCTTTACAATAATAAAAAAAGGCGCGCTTTTTCTGTTTGTAAACAGAGAGATGAGAGTTTCCCTATAGAGGAGAAGGAAGAGCCTTTGTTGGAGATATACCAACAACTACTACTACTCACATTCACGGAGAAGTAAAAGAACAAGGTACAATCTCTCCCTCCCTTTTCTCCTCTCCCACTGTCTAATAATCATCATTTGCTGCTGGCATAGTTTGTCAGAGTACACATTGTTGTTATTGCTATGCTCTGAGAAGAAGAACCAACCAGCCAAACAAAAATAAATGTGGCAGAGAAATGTTTGCGGCCGCCGGCCGTAAATTCATTCAGTTGGTTGGTTGTAATTCATTAACAAAAATATTTAAATTAAATTCTCCAAAAGACAACAAAAACAACGCACTTTATTTTTTTTTTTTACTCACATCTCGTTTGGCTTTACTCACAACAGCAATAACTCTGGACAGAAAAAATAGAAAAAAAGGTGACGCGCGCCAAATTGGTCATCTGTCAAACAATTGTTTTTTTTTGCTTCTTTTGGAGACAAAAACTTGCTGTCTGCAATCTCTTCTCCCACACTCACAACATAGAGTGGCATGGTGGGGTTTTATTAGTAAAGCACCACCTTCTGATGTTTGTTGTTGTTTCACATTGAGATGAGATGATGAGAAGAGCAAACACACAGGTTACATTTATTTCATCATCATCTCCCCCGGTCCAATAAGAAAACTCTTGATTAGAGTATCCAGAGTGTAAGGTAATGGCTTTTTTTTTGGCGCCATAAAGAGTTTTGACCGCCGCTCTATTATTTTATTTTTATTTAACTATCGACTCAATAGGCCTTTTGATGGGGAAACACTGTGTCTCATTCGTTGTTGTTGGTTGGTTGGTTGCTTGCTTGCATTGTGTCACGCAGAATAAGACCTGTTTTGTTTTGGTGCTAAACTCTGCTCTGAGGGTAATTTTCGTAATTTTCTCCTCTACCAAGTAAGATTTTTAGAGATTTCTTTAAAAGATTTCAATTGTCAATTGAGGCAAATGAGGAAATGTCTCCCTGCACTGCAAGAATGAAACTTACATGAGCAAGCACAAACAAACAAACAAACACACACGTACACAAACACATTTTTGAGTTGGTGGCGACGGCAACACAAAAAGAGGCCGTTTAATTTCTTTTTGGACTCTGAGCTTGGTGTCTCTGGGTTTGTTTTCCGACTCAACAGAGATGGCGGGTGGTAGATGAGCGGGAGTTTCTACTTCCCTCATATTGAACAGTGTTTTTTTTTTTCTAGAGAAAAAATAATGCAAAAATACTGACCTTAGTTAACCATCATTTGTTCTCGTTTGGTTGGTGGTTTGGCCAGAGACCGCCGATGAAATAGCAATCCCCATATTGTTGTTGTTGTTGTTGTGGGGAGAAGCCACCAAGAGTGTAACTGACAAACGAGAACATGATGGAAGAGCATCCATCCATCCATCCATTCATTCTGAAACCTATCTCTACTTTGTTTTCCTTCGAGTCGGAGACCAAAAAGGTCTCTGAGCCAAGGAGGCACTCATGGTGCCACTCAACTAAAACTGAGGCCAAAATTCAAACTCTCAAACATTTCAATACTCAGGTGAAAGAAAAACATAACAAAAATAAAAAAAAATTATGTTTTCGAATAAAAATTTTAACGCATTTTAAGAAAAAAAATTAAAAATTTTTTTACAAAAAAAAAAAAATAAATAAATAAATAAAAAATAAAATTTAAAAGATTAAAAAAAAAAAAATAAAATTAAAAAAAAAAAAACAAAAATAAAAAAAAAATAAAATTTAACATATTAAAAAATTAAAACTAAAAATGAGGCCAAATTTCAAAACTCTACCGAAAGATATAATTAAAAAATATTAAAGATTATATTTTCGAATAAAAATTTTAACGCATTTTAAGAAAAAAATTACACATTTTTTTTACAAAAAATACTAATTTAAAAAATAAATAAATAAAATTTAAAAATTTCTAAAACTGAGACCAAAATTCAACATCTCAAAAATTTCAATACTCATGTGAAAGAACAACATAACAAAAATAAAAATTATATTTTCCAATAAAAATTTTAACGCATTTTAAGGAAAATTCTACACATTTTTTTACAAAAAAAAAAAAAAAAATACTAATTGAAAAAAAAAAAATAAAATTTTAAAAATTAAAATAAAATTAAATTCGAAAAATTAAAAAAAAAATAAAATTTTAAAAATTAAAAGAAAAATTAAGTCTAAAACTGAGACCAAAATACAAAATCTCATAAATTTCAATACCCATGAGAAAGAAAAACATAAAAATAAAAATTATATTTTCCAATAAAAATTTTAACGCATTTTAAGGAAAAAATTACACATTATTTTACAAAAAATACGAATTTATTAAAAAATAGAAAAAAAAATTTTAAAAATTAAAACTTAAAAAACTAAAATTTTATTAATTAAAAAAAATGAAATTTTAAAAATTAAATTAAAAAAAATGAAATTTTAAAAATTAAATTTACAAAAAAATAAAAAAACATAATGTTTGGAAAAAATCATAAAAAAATCGGAAGATTATCTACACACCACCTAAAAGATATTTACAACTC